TTCCAGGAAGCCCTCTCCTACTTACACTTCAGCTTTCTTCAAATGTCACCTCCTTGGAGAGAGAGAGGCTTTCCCTAACCACCCCAGTGCAAGCAGTCCTCCCTCCCCATGCTGTGCACTGCCCCCTCAGTAATTCTACAAATCATTCTGCTTATTTCTCTCATAGCTTTTATCATGACAGAATATTTACTTAGACCCACCCACCAGACTCTAAGTCCTTTAAGGGCAGAACTTGGTCAAACTTGTTCACTGCTGTATCCCCAGCACTGAAGATGGTTCCTGACACAAGTGAAGGGCTCAATAAATACTCAGGGAGTAAATAAGTGTATGCATGGATTGATAGATAGACGAATGGAGTACTTAAACATCCAACTCAGGATAATACCGCCCATCATGTTTACTTGAAACATCACTCAAGTTTCCTTTTTCTCTCACTGTGGACAAACCATAGAGCTATGGGATAAGGTGTGCAAGGATAACTTTAAAAGTTAAATATATTTAAATAATAAGAAACTTAGGCAGACCCTCACAGTATTCTTTGCTTAAAAAACTATGCCATTATTTCATGCTAGTGAATGACAAATTTACTAAACCAAATATCAAATTTGAATTAATGTTAAAGAATGTGGTATGTCCCCTACTGTTTGAGACATTTATTGAATTATATAAAAATAAACTTTTATTGACCCTGAAAGTTGCTTTAAATCAGAATGGATTGCCACATAAGTTCAGAAAAAATTTTCTTATTTAGTGTTCTTTTTAAAGAATGGACTCTCATCTTTTTAAAATAGTTTTTTTCTACCCAATGATTTCTTAAGATCCCATTATTAAATGATCAATCAATCAATCAATCAATAATTTAACAAATATTTTTCCAATACCTGTTACATTACCATAATATGCCCAAGTATGCTGGAGAGAAACCAAAAAAGGCATAACTTTACTTATTTGAAATTCTTCTGATTAGAGAACTTTTTAAATTATATTTTAAAAGGAAGAAAAAAAGGAAAATAAAAACCTGCCCTTTAGATAAAAAAAAATAGCGAAGACTGACTTCTATTACAACCACTATGGAAACCAGTATGAAATTTTCTCAGAAAACTAAAAATGGACCTGCCTTATGACCCAGCAATTCCATTGCTAGGATTATATCCTAAGAACCCTGAAACACCAATCCAAAAGAACCTATGCACTCCAATGTTCATAGCAGCACAATTTACAATAGCCAAGTGCTAGAAGCAACCTAGGTGCCCAGCAGTAAATGAATGGATAAAAAAACTATGGCACATTTACACAATGGAATTCTATGCAGCAGAAAGAAGGAGCTTCTACCCTTTGCAACAGCATGGATGGAACTGGAGAGCATTATGCTAAGTGAAATAAGCCAGGTGTTGAAAGACAAATACCATATCATCTCACCTTTAAAGGAATCTGGTCAACAAAACAAACAAGCAGGTAAAATAAAACCAAAGACGTGGAAATAGAGAACAGACTGACAGTGACCAGAGGGGAGAGGGGAGGTAATTTCAGGGTAATAGGGAAAGGGTTTGCGGGAACAAGTATAAAGGACACATGGACAAACACTGGGGGGGGGCGCGGAAAGAGGAAGGAGGTGGGGAGGGCTGGGAGGGTGGGCTGAGATGGGAGTAAAAGGCAGAAAACTGTACTTGAACAACAATTAAAGTTAAAAAATTAAAATTAAAAAGAGCTTTTTAAAAATTCAAAGAAAATTATTCATGTGACACACAAACTCACTCAGAAACATAGATACACTTGTGATTTTATACATATATCCACATTTTATTAATTCTAGTATGCCATACATTGTAAAACTCACAATTATTCTGTGAACCACTAAGAAAGAAAAAAATACTGCCGGTTGAACTATAGCACACCATCAATTGTAAGACAAGCCCTGATAAAATGTGAAAAATCTTCATTTTAGATCAGCAAAATAGGATTTACACTTTTGTGACCATTTGATAAATGTTTGTTGCACCCACAGATATGAAACCACAGTCCATGCTTTTTTTATTCATTATTATACCATGGCCAGTTCTAATAAATTCTTAATAAATCCTTGGATGAACCAATGAACAAATAAGTGAGTGTGCAGATCTAACAGGGAAGTTTGCCTTACAGTCCAAGTACCTAAATGATAAATAAGAAAATGCATCTTAAATCAGCATGAACTGCTAAGTGTTGGAAAGTAACGATTTATTTTGAAGTGGTATCTGTCAGCTTGAAAAGAAGTTCTGAAAAGTGATGAAATTATCACAAAAAAAAGAACCACCCACCTCCCCTGGAAACAGGTGAAGCTTGATTTGTGAAGCCTAAGTGAGTAATTTGAGGTGTTTAATATAACAAGTAAATTGGGTGGGGAGAGCAAGCTGTTTTCACCTCCTACTCTTCCCTGTTTTTAAAAGACAGTACAAATCAGATCTAGGAGAAAAGCAGTTTTTTACTTTTATAAAAACCTATGAGGGAGATGCCATTTTGGCCATGCACCACTGATTTCTTCTGCCGAAAAGAGAAGAAAGCAATCTCCTCATCCAGGCCTATGTAGGGCTCATTATAGGGTGGTAATTATTCAATTGAGTTTTTATATAGAAAGATGTTCAAAAAAGAATTCTATCTATCCTCCAAGGGAAGGTGCACACCTGATTCCTTGTGTTATTTGATCGTCTATTCTCTCCTCTGCCTTCTGACACCTGCCTCTACCGCACTCCTCATTCCTTGGATTCACCGACACCACTAAATCATCACCAGGTTTTGATCCAAAGTGGTCCACAAAACTGGCTGAACCAGGCCAAAACTGTCAAAATAGAAGTAACAGGGAGCAAACATACCTATTAGACTGGGATATTGGTTCTATTTATATTTGTACACAATGCCTCCTAATCAACTCAGGGAAGGATTGTGAGCCTTCTGAGTTACTGTGGAACTCAGTGTACAATGAGTTGATAGTATTAGATCCTACGCAGCTGCCGATAGTGTTAAGAAAAATTTATATGTATTCACCTGGAAAAATATTTGTGGTATAGCCTTAATTTTTTTTAAGTTGTAGGCCAATGTGTAATGTATTGTTATTAGTTTAAAAAATCTTTGGGCTGTAGGTACATCTGTTACAAAACTTTATGGAAGATAATGTTTGGAAGAAGTCATAGTATTTGTCCTCAAGAAGATTTTGTCTAGTGAGGGAGATGAGACTTGTATGTAAATAAAATTATGATACCAAGGTAGATAGTAACCAGCATTTTAAGAGACAATTAGATAAGGTACCAGGAGAATCCAGAACAGAAATTAGATTAATTCTGACTGAGAAAATCAAGGAATGTTCATGGAGAAGACAATTTAAGTGGGCCTTAAAGGTATGTGTGAAGATGTATTGAGTAGGTACAGTCAGAATCAACTTAAAAATGTTTTTTCCTTTATTTCAGTGTAGTTGAGTTTCACATTCAACAATAATATGCTCATAGAAATGCACGTACCCTATGTATGTGTGTGTACTAGACATGTCTCCGTATATATGGAGAGATGCATGTTTAGTACACATAGGAATTTAATGAGAAATGTACATTTTATTTTAAAAATGTATTGATGTGTGAGTGTGTGTGTGAGAGAGAAGGAGAAACGTTGATTTGTTGTTCCACCTGCTTATTCATTCATTGGTTGTTTCCCATATGTGCCCAGACAGGAGGTCGAATCTGCCACCCTGGCATATTAGGACTTTGAGTCACGCCAGGCGCATATCTAAGCAACTGAGCTACCCGGCCAGGGCAATAAATGTGCATTTTAATAACATACAGAATCTCCGAGGGACTGCAACCTCCATCATAGGATGTTTAGTGGCAGCCCCGGCCTCTGTCCACTAGATCTCGGTAACGCCCCCAGGTGTGACAAAAATGTCTCTGGACATTGCCAAATGTCTCCTGGAGGACAGAAAAATCCTTAGTTAAGAACTACTAGTTCTTAATTCCTATCCACTAAGAATTTTAAAGTTCATAATTTCGATTTTGGTTTTTAGGTCCCTTTTTCAAGGGTTTATAACCGTGCTGGGTCAAGAAAGTTTTGAAGATCTGTTGAAAGCTTTTGACTCATTCATTCCTCAGAAAAACACTCATGCTCGCATCTTGTCGAATACAATTTCAGTGAAGTTACACTTGGGCTCTCCTGAGAGTCCTGTTTCCGAGAGCTTGCAGAATTGCTGTGGTCTGTATTTTCCGGCTGGGTGGGTAACTGAATGCTGATGTCCAGAGGTCCATATTTTAGAGCCTCGTCTGCGTTTACTTCAGAGCACTGCTAATGAGGAGAGAGTCGTCCTGTTCTCCGAACTCACCCCGCCTTCATCTTAACCTGCTTTTGCCAGTTTTAACAAGATTCTTCCCCGAAGAAAACAAAACACAGATGAAGTAGAAGAGATCCAGCTTCCCCTCATTCCCTTCTAGTCTAGACCCCTGCCTAGTCCAGCTTATTCCCTCTGATTGTCCCGATGAATGAGAAGAAAGAACCACGAGTCAGTCTGAGAAGGAAGGGGGCGGCCTGGACACTTGAATTTGATTGTGAAAATAGTGCACACATGCACAGAAGTGCACACTATATCTAAAATTTATGAGTAAATTATGAACTCTCTATAGCCACCATTCACTGGGCCCTCCTAAAGAAAAGAAATCGAAAGGCTTATTCAACACAAAACTGGCCACCGCTCCCTTCCTCCTCCCACCTGGAGAGAGAGCTGTGCGCCAGCCAGCGGGGCTCCCTGGGTGCCTCGGCCGAGGCTCCGCGCTCCCAGCAGTCGCTAACCTCTTCGACGGGGACTCTGCGTTTCTGCAATAAGTACCCCAGGGTTGTGGCGCTTCTGATTTGGTGGCCACTGTTAGTAACTGGGGGGGTGGGGTGGGTGAGTGAGGATCTGGGTGGCCCCGTCCTGTAAGATTCTCAGCGTTCTCTGTCCGGGAAAGAGAAAGAATGAGGGGAGGGTAGGATTTCTTTCCCGGTAAGATAGACGGGGGAAAAACCGCCGCCTGCCTGTCCCTCATTCCGACTTAGGTGTCTCTATTGCTCCATAAATAAAACGTGTCCCTGCCTTCTGCGAGCGCTATAAAGGCCGCGAAACGGCCGTGCCCGGGGCACACGGGGCGGGGCGGCAGCACAGACGCAGCAGGTGAGGTCCGTGCGGAGGGTGCAGCCCACGCCACCCCCGCGGGGCTCGGCTCCCGGGGAGATGCGGCTGGTTGGGGGGTGGGACTAGTGCGGGGGCCTGGAGCGGACGGGCCGGGGGCCGGACAGCCTTCTTTCTGAGAAGCTGAGAGTGAGGAGGAAGCTAGGAAAAGGGACCTGGGGAAGGGATCTGCCCCACACGCCCAAAGTTCTGCCCGCAGGAGAGCGGCGGCCCGCGCGCAGAGTCGGGCCGGAGTGCGCGCAGCCTCGGGACCCGGAGATTGGCCGGCGGGTCCCGGGACTGGCCCGGGGCTGCGCTTTTCTCCAGTGTGCGCCTGGGGCTGCGCCCCGAGCCCGGTGCGGGGAGGGAGCAACGCGGTCCGTGTCCTCCCCCGGCCCTCCCCTACCCCGGGTCCCAGCGCGGGTCTGGGGAGATTTCAGAACGCGGACAGCGCCCTGACCGCTGGCAGGAGGGGACTGACTGGGTCGTGCTCCCGAAGCCCCCACGCGGGGCTCACTCTCCTCGGAGTTTGGGAGCCTCGGGAAGCGGGTGCCGACTGCGGGACCGGACGTCGGGAGCCCCCTTCAGCTGCCGGTGCGCGCGGGGCGCCGGGCCCCGAGCGCCCGGGGTGGCTGCGCGCGGGGCGGGCTCCCCAGCATCCGCGGCAACAGGTGGGGCCGGGAGGCGGCTACCCCGCGGTCGCCCCTCCCTGCCCCTTCTTCTTCACTGTTTCTTCTCCTTCTCCCTCCTCTACCTCCTTCTGCTCGAAGGTCATGGAAGTTCCGGGCAGCAGATCGGGGGAAGCTCCTAACCCCAGGTACAGTGGCAGCTACGTGGTGTCAAGGCCGGTCTACAGCGAGCTCGCCTTCCAGCAGCAGTGCGAGCGGCGCCTGCAGGAGCGCAGGACGCTGCGGGAGCGACTGGCCGAGAGCTGCAGGTAGCGGGTCAGCCGTCGCGGTGGGGACGCCCGCGCTTCTACCCGCAGGCCGCGCTCCGGCTGCGCGGTGCGCTACGCGTCTTTCCCGGTGGGAGGAAGGCTGCACCGTTCTCCGCCCGAAGTTGACTCTAGTCTCAGAAACTTATCTTTGGGGAGAGTGTGTTCCGGGAGTCCCGTCTCTCCTTCTCCCCTTTTGTGGACGCACGGAGTTCTCCTTGGAGGTACTTTACCAAGTATCTTCCGGTGAAGGCTTTGAGGAGAGTGGGGAAGAAAGGGGCTTCATTGAGAAGAGGTGATGGGTAAACCCATCACCTGACCAGCAGGAGTCTTGGAAACCCCAAGCTCATCTAGGCAGGATGACACTCAGTCAGACACTGAATGACAGCCAGAGCCCGGAGAGCGCGCTGCGCTCCAATCCGAGTCCTTCACAACGGGCAGTGGGACCTGGAAAACCTCCAACGGTCTCAGCCAAAAAGGGCCACCCGTATTAGATATCACAAACAAAAAGAATCAGAGAGCTGGCAACTATTGCTAGATTTTATTTCTTTTTTAAAAAGTTCATTTTTTAGAACATTTCAAATACATACAAAAGTAGACATATTAGTATAATGAACTTCCTCTCCATGTTTTTACCCATCACTCAGCTTATGATCTTGTCATCTACTCAAAGTTAATCTTGTTTCAACTTGCCCACCCACACTGTTTTGGAAGCAAATCCCACCTCTCTCTCATTTTATATACACATAAAATCTCTACGGACTCTTGAAAAATATAACCACAATCCCATTATCAAGAGTCAAAGAATGTTCGCTTACTGTTAATATATTTTTCTTTTATCTAGTGGTTGTGGAATTTAAAAAACACTAAGAAAACATTAAAAAACATGTACAACAAGGTGTACATGTTAAGAGTTTCAAAAAAAACTGATTTCAAGCTTAAAGACACAGAGAAGTAGAAGAGGGCACCTGGGGTTAGAAGTCTGAAAATTAATCTTCATTTAGACTTAGAGACTCTACATTGATCAACGTATGGCTAGACCAGAAAATGAGTTCTTGTACAGGGATGTTTTCTCAGAGGATGGGAGCAGGCACTTAATTCTGTGTTTTCTAGCACACTGGATTTAAAAGGGTAGACAGAGCTCTTGGCAAAATCATGGTAAGCATTTCAGTGTTGGTATTTGCAATTTCCATTCTTTTTCTAAATAGTTGTAAACATCAGCAGAGTTCAGTTCAAAACTTTTTGATTGCTTGTGGTTGAGGTTAGACTGAAAGCCCACTTTTCCTGCTTTTTGACAGTTGTTCCAGGAAGAGAGCCCTTGGTGTGCTGAAGACTCTCTTGCCCATCTTGGACTGGCTCCCCAAATACCGAATCAAGGAATGGCTGCTTAGTGATATCATTTCAGGAGTTAGCACTGGACTAGTGGGCACACTGCAAGGTAAGGTTTTGGTGGTCAGCTCTACGTGCCTGCACATCATAGTCTCCAGAGGCAGTTCATAACTTGCCCCAGGCTTCCATAGGTCTGCACCACATGCTTGCTCCCCCTTGAGTGCCTCATTTCTCCTCTACAGCCCTTTCGTGGAGAAAGCGGCCTCTTTCCTCCTCCTCTTCCTTAGAATTCTCTTTCTGGGAAACCAGGCTGGCTCTCCAACTGCATGGACCCAACAGAGCCCTATTACAGAAGAAGTGCCTTCCCAACTTGTACTGACCGTAACTCACAGTAAGAAATACGTGTTACATTATGATCTTTGTACATTTAGCCCAGGTTTTGTCAAAGAATATTTACCTTCACTACAAGTGATATACTCTGATATTTTTTACTGTCTTATTTTATTACACTTATTTTTAAATAGTAATTGCATCCCATTAAATCACTTTACCTCTCACACATAGTCTTGATCTGCAGTTTTGAAACTAGCTTAAGGGAATGTGGAGAAAGTATTTTAGCCTGGATTACACATAAGTGTTTTTTCTGTTCCCCTCCCCCTTTCTTTTTAATCCATTCCCTTGTTTTAATCTCTGGAAAAATGTCCCAATGTAGGTGGTTATTACTTTTTTTTTTTTAAACTGGCTTTATATCACATTTCCATGAGCATCTTGGAAATCTGTTGCCTAGTTGGTGAATAATATTCTCCTCTGTCCTCCCTCCCTGTCATCTTGCTTCTGCTCTTCCCCCAACTCTACTAATCCCCTCAATCATGAAACAGAAATCTCATTTATTTATTATAATTTTATGGAGCATTTGTGTGTGCCAGGTACTAAGTATGCTGCCATGAATAAGATGCACCACTTGCTTTCAAGGCACTCAGTCCAGGGGGGAAGTAGGCAACAGTTGGATGTAAGGGCTGCGGCAGGGGTATGCAATGTCACATTGCTTGTTAAGGGAGTGCACGCAGCCTTAGGGGACTGCAAATGGCTTTCTGTCAGAGCTGAGTTTCCCTGAAGGTTCAGTGTAAGTTTGCTAAGTGAGGGAAGTCGGGTGGGGTGGGGGTGTGTGTAAAAAGATAGGTTGATAATAGACTACTTCAGAAGTTGGTAATAGTTGTTGTGCCATTCATGAGTCAAAATTTTCCTGTGGAGCTCTCAAGATTACTCAGAGCAGAACAGGCAGACTCCCACAGAGGAGGAGGGTGTTTTGTGGTCCGAGTGTGAAGTCTCAGCCTGGTCAGCTGTGTTTCCAGTCGCAGAGATGGATGGCAGCCTCCGGCGGGGCTGTGCAGTTCCCAAGTTAAACAAAGTAAGTACCTGTGTGCACAGGGTGCTCTCATAGCTGTGACATGGCAACACCCTATGACTTCTGGGGGACAGGAAGCAACAAATCCATGTTTGTTCAGTCAGTGCCTAGCAAAGAGACTGGCAAAAAATAGATGGCACTGTAAACATTATGTGAAGAGGATTGAATTGTATTCCTGGAAATGAATCTCCTTTTTTTTAAAGTTCACATTTATTTACTTATTTACTTATTTACTTATTTATAGAGAGAGGGAAACGGAAGGAGAAAGAGAAGGAGAGAAACATCAACTGGTTCCCTCTCGCACACCCCCAACTGGGGATCTGGCCCCCAACCCAGGCATGTGCCCTGACTGGGAATGAACTGGCAACATTTTGGTTCACAGGCTTGTGCTAAACCCACTGAGCCACACCAGCCAGAGCTAGATGAGAAAGCTATCAATTAAATCTTGCCCAAGATCATGGAGCTGGTAGGTGGTGGAGCTGAGATTCGAACCCAGACTTTAAATCCGAGGATCTTAACTTGTACACTGAACAGTTCCTTACTTTATAATAATTTGTTTTTTTTTTTTCAGAAACTTATCTCTGTAAGGTGAATTTCTGGGAGGTTAACCTGGTTCATGTATACATTCATTTATTATTCATTCACTTGGTAACATTTGTAGAACAATTCTGTATGCCAAGTGTTCAACCATGGGGATTCAATCGTTTTTGACAGGCACCGATACTGACCCCACAGAACTCATTTTCAGTGGTAGGTAGGGGAAATAAAGAAAGAGATAGATAAATATTTCAGAGGTGGTGGATTAAATGTGCAACAATAGGGATTAACTTGGGAGACAGTATATTTTAGATACAATGGTCAAGGAAGGCTTTACTGGGGGGGTGTGAAGTTTAATTAGGGACTGGAGGATGAAAAGGAGCAGCCATGTATTGATCAGACAGGAGTATATCAGGCAAAGGTGCAAATGCCTTCAGGCCAAAGGAGTATAGTATTTTCAAGGGAGGAAAGAAAAGAATTCTGGTGCAGGTGGAGTGCAGTGAGGGGAAGATGGGTAAGCAGGATGAGTTAAGGTAGGACGGGGATCAGAATGAGGCAGGCACTTGTTCTCAGGGGCCTTCCTTAAATATCGCACCCTAAGCACCTCCTCCTCATCTCAGCCCTGAGGACAGGTGTGCCAGCTTCAACCAGTTCAAGCAGGAGGTGGAGAGAGCTACACAGATCTGTGTATGTTTTGGGAAAAGAATCACTGAGATACACTGATGAATTACCTGTAGATGAAAATCCCAGATGCCCCCAAGGTTGTTGGCTTCAGCAACTGGGTAGATGGTTATATCATCTATTAAAAGAGCAAAGACTGGCTGAGACTTGGGACAGAAAAATCAAGTTTTCTTTTGCTAAGTTTGAAGTGCATGTGAGACAATAAAGCAGAGATGCCAGATACAGAGTTGAAAGTACTGCAGATGTGAAGGGCAGAGGAGAGGGCTGGGTTAGACATAAAAACCAGGAAAGCATCACTCCAGAGGTGCTTATTTAAAAGAGTGGGAGTGCCTGAGGCTACTTAGGGAGAAAGGGCAGATGAGAAGAGAAGACAGCTGGAGCGCTCAGAGGTCAGGAAGATGAAGAGGAGGCCACAAAGAAACACGAGGAGGTAGAGCGCCAGACTGGGAAGCAAAATGTCGCTAGTTCGATTCCCAGTCAGGGCACATGCCTGGATATGGTCTCTACTCTGCTTTTTTTTCTATCCTGACATACTTTATCTTTGGAACATCGCAACGCATCTCAGTTGGTAATTATAAGCAAATACTACAATTGCAGTGTTCATGTTTAATGTGATTTTGGCCATATTATGTGTATTATGCTTCCATATGCAGGCCAGGTCCCCAGTAGGGAGCTCAGGAGAGGCAACCACACATTGATCTTTCTCTGCTCTTTTTCCTTCCCTTCCCCTCTCTCTAAAAATAAGTAAATAAAATATTTTAAAAAAAAGAAACATGAGGAGGTTGAGCTCAGGAAGTTAGAGTAAAAGAACAATTGGAGGAACATGGGATCAGAAGCCAAGGGAAGAGGTTTATTTAAAAAAAGATAGAGGAGACAATAGCGTCGAATACTCTTGAAGGGAAAGTGTAATAATGGAATACAGACAACATTTGCAAAAAGGTTTTTTTGTGAAGCAGAACAGAGACATGCTGTAAGTAGAGGGAGATGAGAGATGATGGTAGAGTGAAAGGAAGTTTTATTTTCCATTTCCAATTACACTGTACGTTCAGTATTATTCTGTATTTGTCTCAGGTGTACAGCATAGTGGTGAGACACTCAGATTTTGTAATGTGGTCCTCTTGATATTTCAAGGATGCATCTGGCAGCATACATAGTTATTACAATATTACTGATTTATTTTTTCTTTTAATATGGGAGATATTAGAACATATTTGTTACTTAGTGGGAAAGACCTAGCAGAAAGAAAGAGATCTGTGCTCCAAGAGGTAGAGAAGAAACAACTAAAAATGAGGAGAAGAGGCAAGCGTGGATGGGTTTAAGGACAGAGGGAGAGAGGGTTGCTCCTTAAAGACAGAGGGGGACGGCTCCACCATCTCAAAGGAAGAAAGGACGAACAACACAGTGCAGATGCAGAGATGTCTGACATTTTGGTAAAAGGCAGATTAGGGGCATCTCACAGATTCAATGTTTTGGATGAAGTCCAAGATGCATCTCTGAACTGTACCTGTGTGGAGAAGGGGGATGGGCAGTTAGGGAAGTAGGAGAAAAGCGCCTCTGTAAGAAATGTAATGGGATTGCCAGGCAGGATTAAGTGTCCACCTGGGGCTTCTGATCACTACATGAAACTAGTCAGCCCAAATGTAGATGTTTTCAGTCCAGTTTACCCAGCTGCTCAAATGCTTGTCAGGAAAAAGTGATTGTTTCGTGTTAGCCCGATTGGGGTTTTGCCAGACAAAAAAAGAGAAGGGGAGGGAGAGTGAAGTGAGGGAGTTCAGAGTATTTATGAAATTCCATGGACAGGGAGACAGTGAAGACAGGAGGGCAGCAGGGATAGGGAGGAGGTGATCAGTTAATTCATTAGAAGCCTCGTGAAGACAAAGAAATGTGGCAATAAGGATACTGCAGCAGGTGTGTAGGAAGCTGTAGTTAAAGAGGAGGCTCAAAATTGAGATTTCTGAGCCGGTGCTGCTGGTTTTGGTGACGGCAGGTCCAGGACAGAACCCGGCGCCTGGACAGCTGAGGAGTTGGGGAAAGCTCATTAGAGCCGTGGGGCTCAAGTTACCGAGAAGCCACTTATTGCTAAGGATAATGGGATCTTTTTGACTTGTGTTATTTAAAAAAATTCCCAATAAGCAAAAGATCAGTGCGGTCTTTTCAGTGCTACCTTTTCATGCAGCTATGGGGAGCCGGCTCTCTTCTTTCTATTTTTGCCTTCTAGATGCTTCCAAATGTTTGCTAGCACCCCCTGTGTCAGTATATGGGGCTCTCCTACACAGGAAGTATATCAACAACAGAAAAGCCAGTTTATATCAATGGCTTAGATTTCCTTACAAATTGTATACTTTCAAAATTGTTGTACCAAATCCTGTTATAATAAAGATGATTACAATATATTTAAGTAGCACTTGTCCCTAAATAGGACACTATATGAAAACTAAAAAGGCCCCATTTTCCAGGGGCCTTTAATTGCTGTAAGAACAGCAGAGTTAGGCAAGTGGAAGTTTAAGGACTTGAAAGAAAGGATATAGCAAATAGGTTGTTTTCATTCCCTGCTTGTTCTTTTCTTGTCTTCCCTTTGTGGAGTTACCTTTCTTGTCCATGTTCTTGGGGAAATTGGTTATTGCAATTTCTTGTTTTAATTTTATTAAAATTAAATTATCTCTGTTGCATCAGTAACAGAGATTTTTTTCTAGATTGTAAACTCTGTAAGGGCAGAGACCTTTTTAGTCTATTCCTGTATTTCTCAAACCTAGAACAGTGCCTGGGATGCGGTAGGCACATAATCAATAGTTGGTGAGTGAATGAATGAATGCTTATTGTAGGAAATTAGAAAATACATGAAAAAAATATCTCTTCAACAAACTGTAAGTTTCCTTTGATCCTAACATACAGGCAACCCATTAATATTTTAAAATTACTTATCTATCTACCTATTTATTTATTTGAGAGAGAGAGAGAATTTGTTTGATTTATTTATTCATTCATTGGTTGATCCTTGTATGTTCCCTGACTGAGGATCAAACCCACAACCCTGATGTATTGCAACCCATTAATATTTTAGCGACTGTTCTGCTAGACACATAAATGCACATCTATATGAAAGCATAAAAATGTCTGAGAGTGATAAGCACTAAGTTCAGCATGGTGGTGGTCTTCTTGGGGTGGAGGGAGGAAAGAGGGTGCAGTTGAGGAAGAGCATACAGGAAGTTTCAACTGCACTGGCAAAAATCGCTCATTTCTTAAGCTGGATGGTGGATTCTGTTATAGTCTTTTTGCATACGTGAATTACTTTCTAATAAGTTGAAAATCTTTCAAGATTATTTTCATGCATACAATGTACTTTTACAAAGGTGAGAGGATGCATACTTACTCTTTTTAACTGTTTTTATCACTTCTTTGTATTTTACATATCTCCATGTAAGTGTATTTCTATACATCACATCAATTTCATTTAATCGAATAACAGTGTATAAAATATAATTTAATTTAGTTAGCCACTTTCATATTCTGAGGCATTCATTCAAAAAATAATTGTGGGTGTCTGTGGGCCAAGATATTTAGGTTGTTGCCACACTTTTTGTTTTTTTTTTACTGTTAGAAATGTGAGTATTTATTAATGACCCAAGAGCCAAAGGGCTTAACTTTTTCCCACTTAAGTAAATGATATATGAGAAGGTAACATGGACTACATGTACTGACTATGTTAGAAGTATCTAACCAAGGAAAAGAACATGTCATGTCCTCTTCCAGCCCCTATGTCCATAGGAAGGCTGATATTTCCTCATACCAGATGACATTCATGCTGGGGTTGGAGAGGTCAGTCACTTTTGGGGAGCCCAAGGGAGTTGCCTTGACTGTCGCTAAATACAATTGTCATTTTTTCTTTATTTGAATCTAACTTCTGTTTCCCAAGAAGAAAGAAGAAAGGGCAGAGCAACAATGACTATGTCCCTGAGAACACAGAGAAACAATGAGTTCATATGAAACTGCCTACATGCAAAGTGGTATAAGCTTCTGGACTGAACTGACAAAGTTTTTTAACCAACCACTGACTTGAGTTCTTTTTACCACTCATGTGATCAGTGAATAATTGAATTACTGAGCAGTCGAGCCAGCTCACTAGAGCAGTTGATTCATGTGGTGCACTCATTTCCCCAGCATGGCCACAGACTGTGTGCATAACCAGGGGAAGCTTAGGACAAGCTGCAAACTGAGGATCTCTATGCAAAAGCCTTTCTTTGTTACAGGAGAAATATACTGTAATGTTTGTTTGTGAACCCCACCATTTTGAATGTTCTTTCAGGCATGGCGTACGCTTTACTAGCGGCAGTTCCTGTTGGATATGGTCTCTACTCTGCTTTTTTCCCTATCCTGACATACTTTATCTTTGGAACATCGAGACACATCTCAGTTGGTAATTATAAGCAAATACTACAATTGCAGTGTTCATGTTTAATGTAATTTTGGCCATATTATGTGTATTATGCTTCCATATCTTTGTTAGTGATTTCTAGGGAAATAGGGCTTCAGTGCTTTGCCTCCTTTTTCTATTCAATAGTGCAAATGCCTCTTCTTACCTTTCAAAATACTAGGCCTTCAGTTTGCTTTATACTTGACTCTTTTTACAGGAAGAGGAGAAGTTAAAAATTATTAAAATTATAGCCTACCTTCAAATTTTAGCATGGTTTTATTTTAAAAAATGTAATAAATTTGACTCTATATTTAGAGAGTGTTCTCTTCTGAAACAAAATATGACAGGGAAAAAATCTTTGCAAGATCTTTGAAACTACTGTATTACTAGATTAACTTAGCGTTTACTAAATTATGTTCATCAAATACATATTCATTATTTCATTAAAGAGCGTACTTATTTTAAGTCACTAAGATCAGAAGACTGGCAAAATCATGCCAAAGCAATTTAGAAACTAAGCTTGGCTTTCCTTCTTGGTATGACTCAAAATAGGTTTATTTCCTGCAATTCCTAAAATTTGAATTCTCTTTTGCTAGAATGTTCTAGTAAATAAATGTTTTAATGCTACTTTGCAACTTTGATAATTTTGTGCCTATATCCATCTGCTGACTAGACATGTCTACCTGGACAATCCTCTTGAAACAAACACAACTGTCCACTATATTCCCAATCCATATCCTTGTCCTTAATTGTATTTCCCCCAATATCTGGCATATTGCTTTGTCTGTGGAAGGAAGTCAGGAAGAGGTTTGTGATTGAAAGAACTTCCTCACCTGGGAGAACTGATCAGCATCAAATGCTTGGTGAGGTAAGGAACATAGAAGCTGATTTTTTCCTCTTTGGTATTCTATCCATTTAGACCTTCAAGTTAGTGGATTTGGGGACTGAGCTTCACAGTCATTAAAGCCTTCATGGTTGAAGGATAGGATCATCATCATCATGGGTAAACATACCAGCAGTGACTGGAGCAGTTGCTGGAAGAAAAGGAGCACTTTTAAAACATAGAATCTTATAAACCGTCATTTGATATAAAAAATTAATTGTCCTGGAAAGAGAAAAGGGGAATCTATACACTCCTTTTGTGGTTTCTTTACCCTACACTGAACCCTGGTTATTGATCAAGGTACTCAGCCTCACAGAGTAGGACAGTGGATGCTCTAGGAAATGGGCTTCTATAGCATACAAATGAGACAGAGCAAGTAAGGACTCGGCTTGTGTGCCACCTCTGCTGGAAAACTTCTCCTGACAACTCTCCCCACTCCCTTCGCATGAAGATCACACAAAGTTAGACACCGTTTCCATATACTTAGAAAGCAACCTGAATGCTGTATTGCAATAACCTACCTACAGGTCTTGCTTGCTCACTTCTAAGTCCTTTTTAGCTTCTTATATGAATAGGCGGTATTTTCCCAATCACTGCTAATTTACATCACACATCTTTCTAATCCTATGTAGACATGACATGTTGAATCTAAACACTTGTGATTAGTACATATTAATTGATAGAGACTTTTTCCCCCCAGGACCTTTCCCGGTGGTCAGTTTAATGGTGGGATCTGTTGTTCTGAGCCTGGCCCCAGACGAAAAATTTTTAATACCCAGCAGTAACGGGACTGCATCAAATGTTACCATGATAGACAATGTGGCTAGAGATGCAGCAAGAGTATTGATTGCAAGCACCCTTACTCTTTTGGTTGGGATCATACAGGTAATGGACTTACAAATAAAATACAGATTGGTATAATTTTTATTTGAAGTAACTAATCATTGCTGATTCAAAATAAAAGACCCTTCAAAGTGGGAAACAATAATCATTTACTGAGCTCAATAAGAATAGCTGTTCCAGAGGCATTGATTCAGGTAGAAGCCCCAAAAATGTTCCAATTAGGAGGCTAAGCACTGGGAATTTACGAGAAAGGGGAGGGGAACAATTACATCAGTAGAAGGAAGGCATTTCTAGTCGTGCAGATAATGTGATAAAATAAGGTCAATTCTAAATCATGTCTTTAATTTTCAGTCCAGTAGTTAACAGTTCAGTAGTCAGAATAACCTATTTCTTGTTATCTTTGTAAAAGCTCACAGAAATAAGCTACATTATATTTTATTTTTCTTAGTACATATCTAGAAATATCTCAAGGCTCATATTACCCATGGTTTTTAAGTTTTAGAGTGATGGAGAGGAGAGATATAGCATTAAGAAATTCAGATTCTTTTCCTACAACTATTTTTGTGTTATAGGCCAGATACCAGAGTTTAAATTGTTGTTAACTTTAATTTGTTAGTAGTTCAAGGGAGTGGTTTCTTCTCCCAGGCAAACATCTAATTTTTCCTTCCTTTTCTTGATCTAGTTGGTGTTTGGGGGTTTGCAGATTGGATTTATAGTGAGGTACTTGGCTGATCCTTTGATTGGTGGATTCACGACAGCTGCTGCCTTCCAAGTGTTGGTTTCACAGCTAAAGATCATCCTCAACGTTTCAACCAAAAACTATGATGGCGTTCTCTCTATTATCTATGTAAGTGTTTCTTCTTACTCTAGGGATGTCTCACTAAGAACAATGTTTTTTTTTCTTCTCTAACCTGAGTCTGTAGAGCCTATATGCCTCTGTGCCATACTCTGGGACCCATTGAAAGCATTCTTTTCTAAAAGAAGCAATAGGATCAGGAGTAACATCAGAAATGGTCCCCATAACTGATCTAAGATGCAAGAGGCTGGAGCTCCAGTCTCAGTTTTACCTCTGACAAGCTAAGCGGCCTCTGGCACATAGATAGCGGCTGAAAAAAAGCTCAGGTTTGGAAGTGGATGACCTGGATTCAAAATGGAGTTGGTAAAAGTATCTGCCAACTGAGTCAAATAAGGATAGATGAGAAGCACTTTGGCCCAGAGGCTGACAGAGAACAAGTACTCAATGAAAGCAGTTATTTTGAAATTACTATCTCACATCTCAAGGCTTCTTTTCTTTTTTATTTGTAAAATGAAACAATTGGACATGTAACTTGAAAGCCATTTTTAACTGTGAGAGTCCATAAAATGTATAATGTAAATATCTTAGCAGTTATGGATGAAAAGGAACATTAGATTCAGAGATGATTCAACATGAAAAACAGATGCAAAAGAAAGATGTAAATCACATTAGTTAGGTTGAAAAGTGATGATGATAGTGACATAATGTCACTCTAGCTTGGAGGGAACGATATTAAGAAAAAATAATGTATCAACATTTAGGATGGAGTCTTTAATGATCCATGTACTAGCTTCTAAAACAATGTAAGGTAATGCGCACATATCTAAAAAATAGTGAGATGGTCAGGAATTTGCTCAGTTTCACAACAGTACTATAATCCCACATTATTCCATCCGTTCAACAAATATTATTATCCGGTGCCTACTACAGGTCAGGTACTGTGCTAAGCACTGGTGGAGGAGACAGTATAACCCAGTAATTAAGATCATGGACTTTGAACTTCAGTAAGTTTGAGTCGTAGTCTTGGTTCCACCTACTGCCCATATGATTTGGGGCATGTTATATTTCCCCAAACCTCAGGGTTCTCAATTGGAAAATGGGGATAACAATAGTACCTCGTAGAGTTGTGAGGATTAAAAAAGAACAATTGTGTATAGCCCTTGGCACAATATCTGGCACATAGTCAAAACTCATAGTAATATTATTATTATTATTGTCATTATCATAATGAACAGACCTCATTGAGCTTACTGTTCACTTCCCAGGCACTCAACCCATTAGAGCACATGAGTGCAGACTTTTTTCAGGCTGTTTTTTTATTCAAAATTATTTTTGTCATTGTTGCTTTTTTTCTACCAAGTCCTGGGTTCACTTTGAAACCTTTCGACTGCCTTTTTCTGACAGGCTCTCTCACTTTGACACCTCCTCACACAGCTTGCTTTTTCATGCTTTCATACTTTCTCCATCAAGTATTCATTCATTTCTCCCTTCATTGTTAATTCAATTCAGCTGTTCAGTTAATACTTATTGACTTCCTACCATATGCCAGGCACTGTTCATTCCCTATACAAACCCACTGGTTCCTGAATCCACCAAGATACCCGTTCTTGAGTGTACTCACCTTGTGTGAACATTGCTAGATCAGCATCCACACAGATCATGGGGGGCCTAGACCAGTGTTTATCCTGGGTCCCTGGCCATTGTTGGACCTGTGCAGATAGAGAACTGAAGTAGTTCTTCTGATCTCCTAGGACTGTGTTTAAGGGGAAGCTTGCTGCCAAAGATCTCATTATCAACAAGGACAAAGTAACCAGAAAACACTAGAACAAGGTCAAAGAAAGGGTTTTGAAGCCAAACACAATCATTATGTAACATGTCCTGTTAAACATTATTCTTAAGTCTCAGGCAACAATCTGTCATAGAATTTTGCCAGAATTCCTTCCAGGTCAGCCACATTGGATGAAGATGTTTTTCAATCATCCTTGTGTGATGGTGAATATAAGCTTCCTCTTCTGAGAAGAAAGAATCAGTATGTTGGGAAATGATTGTGTAAGGCTTGAATGAGCCACTCAGTAAGTGAACAGAGAATTTTGCTGATGACATTACCAATTGCAATTATTCATGAAAGAATCCTTCAACAAATGCAGAGTGGTAGTGGATTCTTCCAAGAAAGACTGTAAGATTATTGTTAGATTCATGCCCGAGAATGTAGTCAACATTTCTTTTGTTATAAGGTTGTACTTTGGATTGACCCTTTGACCCCACAAAAAATAACAGGAAATAATGAATACAAAAAATGGAGGATGAAATACTGGAAGAGAAAAAATATGTAGACATTAATTTACAAATGCCAAAGATACTGGGTAGGGGATGCAGAAAGGAGAATTTAGAATTAGTAATACTCTTCATGCTACCATGTAGCTACTCAATTTCTAAGTAAATCACAAAGTCTAGTTCAGAGTGATTATTTTCCCACCATTCACTTTGAATAGTTTGTCTCAGTAGACCAAAGAAATCTACTTATTAGATTGATGCTACCTGCCCCATTTTTCCCTTAACAAAAAGGAAGAACACATTGAAATTTTGCCCAGATGGTGAGAGTTTTGAAAGCCACTCCTAAGCTTGATCAGTTTCATTACTTCGAATCTATATAAGTATGTAAATTTAAGCCATTATAACAAAGAAACACTTTAAGGGTTGATATATATATATATATATATATATATATATATACACACACATACATATATACATATATATATACACATACACACACACATATATATATATATATATTTCATCTTATATATAGACTGTCAGGAGATGGTGATTATGAAGGGTCTGTTATATTTATAGAAATAAGATGAAGTAAAATAAATTTGGTTTTAGAAGTTAGCTAAAAAATGTCTTCATATAATAATGCCAGGTATATTTTTTCCTTATGACTTCAAACACCCAGGCAATGCTAGGTGAGAATGAAGAAATTATTTAAATGAGATGGTCATAACATTCTCCAAGCATTGAGAAAATATAGTGAGACATTATCCATTACTGAAAAGCTTATTTTCATGATTTGAATTATTTAGAAGACTAGGCTGGATGTGTTTATCCATATTTAAACATATTTTAGAAAGTATTTTAATAATAAACTAAATAAGGGTTAATTTTCTGTGGTTTTTCAGAGTCTCATGTCTATATCTTTGACACAGTCTGACTACTTCAGTTTATATGGGTGAGTTTTAGTTCACACAGGATAAACTTTCTATTGTAGAGCTTTTTGTAAGAGATCCTGAATGATCACTCAATATATAGGCAACTAATATGTTCAAATGCCTTTTTTGATGCAATTGTGTGATATAAACTGATTTCGTTTTTTGGAACTTCTATTACATTGTTAATATAACAGAGGTGCTTTTTTAAAAAAAGATTTTATTTATTTATTTTTAGACAGGGGAAGGGAGGGAGAGAGAGAGGGAGGGAAACATCAATTTGTGGTTACTTCTCAAAAACATGCTCACAAACCAGGTATGTGCCCCACTGGGAATTGAACCAGTAACCCTTTCATTTGTGGGGTTGGGGCTTAATCCACTGAGCTACACCAGCCAGGGTACAGAGCTGCTTTTTATCAAAGGCCTAAGTGACTCTCACAGATTAAATGAGACTCTTGTAGTGATTACTTTTATAAGGTGAAAATGTTTTTATGATTAGGATAATTATTCTGATTGTTTTTAAGTTTGAATTTTTTCATCTTGAGTTGAAAGTAAACCTTCTTTGTATAGACAGTTAATCAAAATATTATATCTCATGAATTAATGAAGATCATCATCAGAGTACTGCTTAAATAAAGGGCCAGAGTCCAATAACTGCAGGACTTAGGGCTGTTTACCTCTATGGTAGGTACCTCTATGCTAAGTTCTTGAATTATCATGTCTGCTTGTGGTAGTTTCTCCATTTTTTTTCGAGCTGTTATCACTTGCCTCAATTTGTTATTATCAGTGTATCTGCATCTAGAAATTTTTACTGACTCTGGGAAACAAAGTATACTTGTTAGTACTGAGTTTAAAGCAAGAGTTAAAATACTCTTTGAATGAAAATCCAAGAGGTTTGCTCCAAGTTAAAATGTTTGCACTCTAGTTCAAGCACTTGATGGAATGTATTTTGTTTGCATTATAACTTCTCCCCTCATTCCTTTACTCTTGAATGTATTGCAGGGAGCTGAGTTTGCTGGTACAACAACTCCTAGATCACTTAATGTTCACAATATATAATTGCTATCAGATTGTCATTATAAATTTTTTAAAATATATTTTATTTATTATGCCACTACAGTTGTCCCATTCCCCCCCTTTGTTCCCCTCCACCCTGCACACCCCTCCCCCACCACTCCCCCTTTTAGTTTATGTCCATGTGTCTCAAGTTCTTTAGATTCTATATTTCCCATACTATTCTTGCCCTCCTCCCTATTTTCTACCTACTGTCTATGCTACTTATTCTGTGTACCTTCTCCCCCCTTCTCCTCCTCCCACTCCCCTGTTGCTAACCCTTCATGTGATCTCCATTTCTATAGTTCTGTTCCTGATCTAGCTGTCCTCTTAGTTTGCTTTTGTTTTAGGTGTGGTTGTTAATAACTGTGAGTCTGCTGTCCTTTCATTGTTCATCTTTTTTATCTTCTTTTTCTTAGGTAAGTCCCTTTAACATTTCATATAATGAGGTCTTGGTGATGATGAACTCCTTGAATCTGACCTTATCTGAGAAGCACTTTATCTGCCCTTCCATTCTAAATGAAAGCTTTGCTGGATAGAGCAATCTTGGATGTAAGTCCTTGCATTTCATCACTTTCCAGCCCCTTCTTGCCTGTAAGGTCTCTTGTGAGAAATCAGCTGACAGTCTGATGGGAACTTTTTTGCAGGTGACTGTCCCCTTATCTCTTGCTGCTTCTAAAATTTTTTCCTTTATTTTAATCTTGGCTGATGTAATTATGATGTGCCTTGGTGTGTTCCTTCTTGGGTCCATCTTCTTTGGGACTCTCTGAGCTTCCTGGATTTCCTGGAAGTCTATTTCCTTTGCCAGATTGGGGAAGTTCTCTTTATGATTTGTTCAAATAAGTTTTCCACTTGTTTGTCTTCTTCTTCCCCTTCTGATACCCCTATAATTCAGATGTTGGAGCATTTAAAAATGTCCTAGAGGTTCCTAAGCCTCTCCTCATTTTTTTGAATTCTTGTTTCTTCATTCTTTTCTGTTTGGTCATTTTTTTCTTCCTTCTGGTCCACTCCCTTGATTTGAGTCCCAGTTTCCTTTCCATCACTATTGGTTTCCTGTGCATTTCCCTTCATTTCAATTAGTTTAGCCTTCATTTGTTCCTCTAATTTTTGGCTAAAATCAACCAGTTCTGTGAGCATCCTGACCACCAGTGTTTTGAACTTTGCATCTGATAGGTTGGCTATTTCTTGGTCACTTAGAAATATAGGCTCTGGGGCTTTGAGGTGTTTTTCTTGAGCCATAATGCTTTGGTCTGTTCATGCCTGTTACGGCAGAGCCTTAGGTGTTCACCAGGGTGGGGCGACCCAGTCACTGGGTTGTGATGCTGTATGTGGGGGTGGGGCCAGAGAGGGGCAATGGCTTTGTTCCCCTCTATCTCTAATTTGGGTCCCCTCTGCTGCTTCCCGCAAGCAAACCAAGCTCCCCCTGGTGCCGGCGGTTCCCAGGTGTGTGGGCCTGTGCACCCTCCAGGACCCTGTGGGTCTCTCCAACAAAGTCTCTGTGAGCCTGGGAGCTTCTCCCAGCACCTTGACCCTGAAAGTTTTTCCAATTGGTGCTTTTAGGCTTTAATTCCTGTCGCTGGGGCCCTAGCCTGCATGGTCTGTCTCACTACTTGCTCCTTTGCCTGGTTTATCTGCACGCGAATGTGTGACTGTGGTCAGCCTGCCGCCTTACACCCTCAATGGGTCCGCCCATTGCCACCCCACGCCTGGGATCCACCAAGTGCCACCTACCTGTGCTCCTGGGTCTGTCCTGAGGCTTTTTCCTGCCTGACCCCCTCCTACAGCCACTGACTCCGCCCCTCTTACCTGTCTGGCTGAATGGTTCATTATTGTAGGACTTCCATTCAGTTCAATTTTCTGTGTTTTGGTTTCATTTTTGTCACTAAAACTTTGTTGTCTTTAAACTTGGTTGTGCAAGGAGGCACAATGTTTCCACCTACCATCATGATAAATCTTTTAAGCATGGTTCATCTATAAAAAGAAATAAGATATATGTTATAAACTATAAGATGCTCCATTCCTTTATCTTCACATAAAAAATATATAAAAGGACTCATTTAAAGAAAAGTAACCTTCACTGAGAGATTAACTTGTCTCAAAAAATTGATGAAAGCTTTCTCCAGCCATTCCTTCTTCAGGACAGAAGCTGCTATAACAAAGATACTGGTGTTCTTCACTGGGATTCTCCCTTGCTAATGTCCCTCTATTCCCAGAAGCCTCCTGTTTACAAAACAAGACTAGTTTTTCTTTAGCTGGTTTACTTCTCCATTTGGAAAGAGTTACTTTTCTTTGTCATCTTAGTTCAAGTTTGAACTAAGTGCCAGATTAATTTCCAAAAATTTATACTTGACCTATATATCAATCCAATAGATTTTCTTTGTCATAATGAATAGGTCAGCCCATATGTATACACATATGAAGTAGTTTACGTATTTTATTATCACCTGCATCATCATCAAGAGCTTTACCTAAAATACTGGTTAGTTGGGACTTTTTAGTTTATTAGTATTTGGTTTCAATGATACCATATCAACAAGGTAAAAATTAGGCCAGTTAATAACACCTGTAAAACCACTTTAAGATACAAACTTTTAAAGTTTTCCTACAAGTAAGAGACAGTATATAATAATGTTTTTCTTTTAAGACATCTCATTTTTCTTGTAAAAGACGCAGATAGCAAAAATAAGAAAGTAGAAATCACCCATAGTTTTAGAACTCCAAGTAAACCATTGTTAATAACTTAAGGTACATACATACACATATATCAAAGATATGTTTATATGTCAAAGGTACATACCAAAGACTGGATGTGTTTAATGGTCTCTGTATTAGTCAACATATATTTATGGTTTTACATGGAGTTCTTTTTTTAAGCATTTTTAAATTTAATTATTGTTCAAGTACAGTTTTCTGTCTTTTACTCCCATCCCAGCCCACCCCCCCAGTGCTCTCCACCTCCCTCCCATTTCCACCCCCCTTAGTTTTTGTCCATGTGTCCTTTATACTTGTTCCTGTGAATCCTTTTCCTTTTAAGTGCTGTGTGATGATGATATCATGATTTTTTCATATGAGAAGTACATGAAATTATTTTTTTACAGACTCTGGTTGAGATTTTTCAAAATATTGGTAACACCAATCTTGCTGATTTTGTTGCTGGATTACTCACCATTATCATCTGTATGGCAGTTAAGGAATTAAATGATCGCTTTAAACACAAAATCCCAGTCCCTATTCCTATAGAAGTAATTGTGGTAAGTAGAATATATAATTAGAAAATTCAGCATTAATTAGTTTGACAAGAAAGGAATTGTTAAAACAAATGAATTCTTAAAAACCTCTTTTGTTTTATTTCAGACAGTAATTGCGACTGCCATTTCATATGGAGCCAACCTGGAAAAAAATTATAATGCTGGCATTGTTAAATCTATCCCAAGGGGGTGAGTATAGTATTCCTCTTAGGAAATACTAATATATTAAGTCAGTACTTTCTATTTAAATGAAACCTTTTATTACAAGCTTCATTTCATTGGTGCTCCTTCAGTAGTTCTATTTGTGTAGGATCATAAAGAAGCACCCATTTATAAAGGACACATGGACAAAAACTAAAAGGGGTGGAAATGGGAGGAAGGTGGGGAGCACGGAGGGTGAGCTGGGATGGGAGTAAAAGAAAACTGTACTGTAACAATAGTTAAATTAAATAAATTAAAAAGAAAGAAAGCACCCATTTGTGCAAACTGTCAGAAAAGCAGTATGTTCAATCCATTCGTTTAAAAGCAACCCCCATATAATTTCCTTTTGTCCTTCACTTTCTTAAAAAGTGGCAAGACATGTACAGTTACCACCAGACTCCTGATTTAAACTTACATGAATAATTACAATAATATAAATAGAATCATGGATAGTAAAATTTTTTTTGCACTGAGAACAATTTGCTTAAGAAATCAGAGACATCTAATCTAAATTCTCCATCATTTAGTTTAATCAATCTTAGGTAATACTTATGTCATTTGTCCCTTTAAATAAAATGCATAACCTGCAAGGGAATTTTTATGTATGTTTGGTGAATTATGACTGGAAAGATCTAAGGTCCTTTGCCCATCTCTGACACTATCTAGTTCTATGGCCCTGAGGGGCAGAGGTTCTTTTGTAAAACAAGGGTAATGACAGCTGCTGAAACTTCAGCTTGAGCTTGTTATGAAACACTAATGAGATCTCTCATAAAATGCACAGAGTGGACCAAGTGCCCTACACTATAATTTTATCATGGCATTTTAAAAGAAGCCCAAATGTTTATTAGGTTTGTAACATTAACTTACAGCACTTGTGACTACACTTGCTGTTACATAACCACTAAACACCAGTTTCCCCTCTCTTAATACTAGCCGAAGGACCTTGCACCAGTCCTTGTTCCTCCACGCTCCCCATAGTAACATCTCGGCCAGCAGGGTACCAGTGCTCATTCCACAGGGAACTGCTGCCTTTTCATTTGATCCATCTTATGAATTCTTCTAATATCTGTTCAAAAAATCTTTGAAAAATTGCAACTGGCTCCATGGGCCTTAATTAACATAGTATCCATTGTAATGTTTCTTAGACTTAATGAGACCCTTGTTAACATAGGTTCCTGGTTCTCACCCCAAACCTGTTAAATCAGGCTTTCCAGAGGAGGGACCTTGGAATTAATATTTTTCAAAAGTGTCTCAAGTGATTCTTATGATCAGGTATATTTGGGAAATTTTACCTTAGAGGATCAACATTTTGATAGTAAATCCTAGTGTTGAAAGGAATTAAATAAAAGGTACAGTGTGGCTTCTTGTGCGATAGCATTTTCAACAGAACATTAGATTATTTGAGTAGTTAAAAATGACTACACAAAAATGTATGTATTATAGACGTCTTTTGTCAGGCTTCCTAAGATGTAACACTTAGGCATGGTCCACAGCAAACGCCTGGTCCCATAAATCCATGTTTCATTTGTTGATATGGGGAACTCATTTCTGCTGCCCTAAGTTATCCTTTCTTCCCCTATCCAGAGCTTTCCTGACTGCTCTCCCTTTGCAAATGGATCTCTAGTCTCTTGCTCTTGGCTTTAGTCAAGCTGAATCCTTTGACAGACCACCTTGTGGGAGTGGTCAGCTAACCTAACCTGCCTGACCCCAGGGTCTCTAAGCTCCTCTGCAAGGCAGTGAGCCCATTTGTCTTACTTAGCCGTCTTCCTACCACAGTACCTATCTCAGAGTGAGATCCCAGAATATATTTGCCAAGCCTATGCCACTGTAAGCAAGCCATAAGACAAGACTTTGCTGCCTGATCTAATGTGACGGTACAGAAACAAGCCTAAAGACATTAACAAACCTGAAGAAGAAAGGATGAAGTAGCTTAGAAAAGAGAAAAAAAAGTAGTGTTAAAGCTGAGAACAATGAACGCAAGAGGAGCAAAGAGAAAGGTTGAGTGGGCGCACTTTTTCATTGTCTCCCCTTCAGTCCCCCTAAAGGGAGTAAAAGTAAGGCTGCTGTTGGCAGTTCCTTTTCATCCTGTTGAGGATCAATACCATGTGCTAGGACTACTCAGTCCCCAGTGAATCCATGTAAGAATCTTATGTCTGTAAGAATCTTATTGCTACTTTACCACATCCCTCTAATTATAGAGGGGAAATTTTAATTTCTTATTGAAAGAACTTTAGGCTTATATGAGTTATGTGCAAAGGAGATTTTTTCCTAAGACCTCTGGAATTATATCATACAGATAGTCATCAAGATACAGGTTCATGAAGGTCGTCACCCAAACTTCACATTTGGAAACAACCACATGATTATAAAATAATAGGTTTTTGTTTTGTTTTGTTTTGTTTTTACTTTGTACAGTTAGTAGTATAGCTCAGGTTTTGTGAAACAGTGGTTATTCGACCCCACCACAATCATTAGGGTATATTAGTGTTGTGACTATGAAGCATTCTGATGATTACACAAATTTAATTCTTTTCTCAACTCAAGAAGACTTTAAATACCAAGGCTCTTTTTAAAAATTGATTTTAGAGAGAGAATGAGGAAGGAGAGAGAGAGCAAGCGAGCGAGAGAACCATTGATTTGATGTTCCCCTTATTTATTCATTCACTGGTTGGTTCTTATATGTACCCGGACCAGGGGTCAAACCCACAAACCCACAACCTTGGTATATTGGGACAATGCTCTAACCAGCTGAGCTTCCTGGCCAGGGCTAAATATCATGGCTCTTGAGATACCGATTTTCCACTTAGCTCTTTCGCACTGTATATTGTTTCTTTAATAAACCTTACATCTCTTCATATAGGGTAAATCACACTTTATGGCCAGTATATGCTTTAAATTCAAAGATCTTTAAGATGAAATTGTGTAAGGAGAAACACTAATGTGGACAGAGCATGCCATAAGATTTTATGATATTAAAGAGCCAGTAATGGCAGGTTTATTCATATCAGAGGTACAAATGAGGTCGCATTTGTAGGTTCTCGGTAGAGAACAAAAATATCAGCCAATCAGAGGGCACCAACTTCTGGTTAAAAAGTATAAAACTGAATGCTGCCATTGGTGCTTATGTGCTTTTGCCCTCTTGGATCAGGTGCTTTCTTGTCTAACTTGTGGCCGGGTTGGTGAGGGGGAAACAGAGAATTATGGTCAAATACTCATAGCACTTTTCATTTGAAAACTCACTAGATTCTTGCCTCCTGCACTGCCACCTGTCAACTTGTTTTCTAAGATGCTGGCTGCATCGTTTTCCATCGCTGTGGTGGCTTATGCTATTGCAGTGTCTGTAGGAAAAGTATACGCCATCAAGTATGATTACACCATCGATGGGAACCAGGTATGGTCATCCTTTTTCTAACTGGTTTTGAAGGGCTGAAAATAAATACATGGAAAAAAATTTTTTGTCTTCTAAAGAAGGGATTGGTTTCTTCTACCAGTCCTTATTGAGTTGGTTTCCCTCTTGTGCATTGCTAATTTGAAATTATTTTAAAACATGCATACTGCATCACTTTGGTTTTTAAGAAACCAGTTAAAGTGATAAGAATTTTTAAAGAGTTATCAATCAGGTTATAAATAACATTCAAAGTTAACATATTAGATCAGAATAAGAATTCTTCATGTTATTCTATACCTCCTGGTGATTTTTTAAATGGTGGCTATAATATGACAAAATGAACACTTTTCATAATAGTTATGGTCACTTTAAATTCAGATGGTTTGCTGCACAATTAATGACACAGGACAGGTTTTGTATGCATCTGATACGTTGCCAGGTGAGCTCACAAATTCTCAGTTATGGCGTGTTTCTGAAAGCACAGCATAGCAATTACAGCAGTTAAATGATTAGTAATCGAGCAGAATAATAGCTCTCCTAGTCATAATAGGCTTCACAGCAAATATTCAACCACAGAAATAACACTGTATGTGAGAGCAGAAAAAAATGTTTTATGTGAGAGCTGTAGCAGATATGCCACTCACCAGGAAGTGAAATAAGCAATTTAGCAAAGCAGCAGTTACTCTTCCTCAGCAACCTTAAAAAAACAATTGAGAGCAGTGAGGCCTCCTTTAGGGTCTAAGGACCCCAAACTCCAGATGTTTTTCAGGACCCAGGCAATTTTCGTGGTAAAAATTAAATTGGGACTATCAGGCAGGGTGGATTTGGGAGTTTGTTTCCTTAACATTCTCCCTTAAACATTTGGCAAGGGTCTTGAAAAGATTATATTTGTAGCATCACTGTCATCCAGTCTCTCCCTTAGGAATTCATTGCCTTTGGGATCAGCAACATCTTCTCCGGGTTCTTCTCTTGCTTTGTGGCTACCACTGCCTTGTCCCGCACTGCTGTCCAGGAAAGCACTGGGGGAAAGACACAGGTAGGGAGCAACAGTGTGGTCATATCCATCCACTGTGAAGAATGAGTTGGGCCCTGACCAGGTGGCTCAGTTGGTTGGAGCATCTGCCCATACACCAAAGGGTTGTGGGTTCAGTGCCCCGTCAGGGCACACACCTAGGTTGTTGGTTCAGTCTTGGTTTGGGGCGTGTATGGGAGGCAACTGACAGATGTTTCACTCTCATAATGATGTCTCTCTCTCTCTTTCTCCCTTCCACTCTCTCTAAAATCAATAAGCATATCCTTGGGTGAGGTTTTTAAAAAGAGAGAGAGAAAGAATGGGTCTGGAATAGCAGTTCAGAAAGGCTTGCCCAAGAACGGAGCAGGACAATTAGCCTTTGAGAAGAGAGAGCATGCTTTCTGCTCTGAGTCCCCTGACTCCCCCAGGTTGTCTTGTTTCACCCCCTCGCCAAGAACCTTTCAAACCGTAACACTGATGGTTTTCTGAGGCAGTAATTCTCAAATCTCTTCATGTCAGTGCTGAGCTGGCAGAAAGTTACATTTACCCGTTTTTCCAGGGACAATAACAATTGACAAAAGAACCAGTCAATAATGCAGAAAGCTGACTGTTATCAGTTTGTTATCTGGAGCTAGAGAAGGCCTAGTAAAAGTATATTCATGGCTTACTGAGTTATTATATTTTCAGAAAACTTGAGTGTTTTCTTACATTTCCTTTACAAGGATCAGGAACTTCCTCCAGAGGCCTCTGGTCCCACAGAACAACAGTTTGCTAGCCAAGAATATTTTGTTAAAATGTTTTGACATTTCTTCTTGAGTAAGATCTTTTCCCCTCAAGTTCTGAAGGTCGGTTTAATCTTGCCTTTTATATGTGTTCTTAGTTGTTGCTTTACAAGGTGACCCCAAAACCTGCATCCCAGTTAATCTCTGGACAGCCTCTCCTTTAATTGTCCAGAAAACTGAGGAGCCTTTCTCAAAGGCCATGCTTTCCAGCCAAACATGGAGTCAGGATGCCAAATCCAGTGGTTGAGGGCAAGGGGCAGGCTCAGGGGTTGTGTTTCTGTTATGCCTGGAGAGTTTCTCCTTCCAGCACAGAAAGAGCTATTATTTAAGAGTAAAGAGTAAATTGAGACTATAAAGGAGAACAACAAATCCAAAGTAAATAGTCATACACATGTGCACACACACAGAATCTTTAAAACAGGGTTCTATTAGAGCAGAGACACTATAAATCAGCATAAAAAAAGAATGACTGAGAAAACCAATGACTTCAAGAGTGGCTTGCCCAGGGAGAGCTTTAGTTGTCCCCAAGGCACACATGATACTCCTTTCTTATTTATAATGGGTCTTTTTTGACAGGGCTGGAAGAATGGCTCTCTCCCAATTTCTTGGCTCTTATTGAACAAAACTTTAATTTTAATTATTATAATTTTTCTTTGTAAAATTAAGTTCACTTTTTATGCAAACATTTGTAGCTCTGAGGGTGCAAGTGAAACAAGCTAGCCCATACCAGGGAGCATAAGTAGAGACCTGTGGTCAAAGGAGAAGAGGTCAGAGGTGATTTCCAAAGCTGTACCCATGTTCAGGGCCAACTGTCAGCAGCAGGTTTCTGCTGCTTTCATTTAAGATAGAGCGTTGACAAGGTCTCCAGGGCACATGGCTGTAAGCAGGTACAGGCAGATCCCCAACTGCTGATGTTCACTGCCCCGCTGTCACCTCCAGATTCAAATGAGGCACAGGCTGGCTGCCCAAGTAGGAATGCTGATGTAAAATGATTCCTTGGCAGAGGGTTTAGGGATAATGGTGTTATGGTAAGCTAATACCCTCCAGCCACACACTGGCCTGTATTATATTTAGGAGTGAAGGAAGCCAGGATTTCAGTATTGAAGAATGAAACAAGCACAGAAATGGCTTGATATTTAATTACCGAAACATATACTAAGTTCTGGGGTTAAAAGTCTAAGTGCCTGAACTGAAATCCAGGGACTCATGACTGAATAAACCAGTTAGTCTTTCCTTCCGTGGCTTCTTAGGTTTTGTTTTACTTTAGAGCCTCAGTTTCAGCGTCTCCTCAATGGGCATAATAATTGTATCCACCTCAGGGATGCCGTGAAGTCCTGGCACATATGTATTTGTAAATGCTCATGGCTCCAGTCATCAACTCCTCATGATAAGAAGTGTCTTAATACCTACGAGACATATATTACACCTGTCACAGAACCGCTGAACACATACTTGCTGAATGAATGAACCAACGAAATAATGAGTGTGGGTGGGTTATTAACTGTTTCAACACATCTGCAGATTGTAGAAGAGCTCAATGTTGCAACCTGTTCTTTCTGTGCCCCTGTCTCATTCCTACTGGCTCATGGAAAAGGAGTTCTAATTACAAACTCTTCTCTAGCTCTGACTACCCTCTCACGTAACAGAATAGTGAACTTTCTAGTAATTAAATCTGATTATAGATGCAAAATCTACAGCATTTCCCACAAACCAGCCTTAATTAAATTAAGTACAAGTAATGGACCCCCACTCACAGATTTCAATATAGTAACCAAAATTAGCCTTGACCCCCATAATCAGAGGCTTATTATTACGGAAACTTGGCAAGTAGATGGCCACTCACTTGGCATGTGTTGGGCAGCTGGCTGCAGTCCCTGTCCTCCAGTGTCCATATTGCTCCCAATTCACAGAGCCCTGCATCCACAGTGAGATGCCAGTGGCTCATTGTAGACAATAAGTACTGGCCAAGTAAATTGCATGGAAAGAAAGAGGAATGAAGGGGTTGAAAGAGGAAGGGAGGGTATTAGCTTCTCTGCTGAGACAGAAGAAAGGAAAGTCACCAAGGTACTGGGAATCTGGTGCCATTTTGCTAGGAGGTAACAGATTGCCTAGAAAAAGGGATGTGGATGCAAAGCAAAATTTTTAGTACATCATATGTATAATATTGCCTCAGGCTGACCTCGCCATATGCTGACCATGAATGATCAGTTTGCTAGGCGAAGTGAGTGCACGTATGAAATTTCCTTGGTTCGTATGTCTCCTTTAACTCAAACATTTTGTGCTAGGCAGTATCTGTACCCAACACAACCTTTCCTGTTGCTCCCCCTCCGATTGCTCTGCTTCTGGTTCCCTGTCTTCTCTTCTCCTTTGTTCCAGAGCTTCTAATCTTCTCCTTGGCCATGCCCTAGCTGTCTCAGCAGAGAATTCACTGGCCATCTGATCAAACCAAAGAATAGTCCCCAATCCCTCAGCCCCTCTCTAAACTATTTATAGATCTTAGGAAGTTTTTTTTGGCCAGCAAAGGTAAACTTTCTGAAGCTTTCTTTACTCCGCTATCGCCTGTCATTACTTCACACAATCGGTGTGCAAAGTTCTGAGCCTGCACCTGTGAAACTGTTAGAGGAAGCAGGAGACGTGGTCCACCCCTCAGGAGGCTCATGGGGCATTTGGGTTTGCAATAACACCGGCAAATTTATTTTCTCTGGGACTTTGGTGGCAACAATGTGCTACAAGTACAAAGTATTATCAGAATTGTTATTATGGTTGCTGATTCAACATCGTAGAAGAATCCATACCCACTCTGAGAATTTACTTCCCCCAAACATGGTCTGTGGTTGGGGAAAGGGAATGGTCCATGTCTCCTGGTGTGGAAAATAATTTGAAGTTTGGCCCCTGAATTGACACCAAAATTCGATGTTAGATATATCTAGGCAACACCCAGGTCAAACTGGCTTTACTTTAGCAGGATCAGTCTCCACATTTTATTTAATTTCTCTGCCATAGCTGCTATATATACAGTTTTTATTTTTCTTCAGTTTCGTAGAGTTTTAGAAAATAGTTCTTATATCTCTCAAAGGTACGGAGGAGAAGGGTGGAGGTCAGGAAGCGTCATGTGCCCCTTCGATCAGGCATGCACACCCAGCAGGCTGAGAGGCAGGAGGGGGCGGGAGAGGCTCCGTTCATGAGAGATGTGTGTCTTTCAGGTTGCTGGCATCATCTCTGCTGGGGTTGTGATGATCGCCATTGTTGCTTTGGGGAAGCTGCTGGAACCCTTGCAGAAGGTAACCCTGCTTCTCTGCACACTGATTGTGTAATTTCTCTACTCTGCCACCAGAGAAATAACAGGAGATTTATAAATCATCACATGGAAACCAATTCTCTGAATAACATAACCCTCCCCGTCTCTCTTGCCAGTCAGTCTTGGCAGCTGTTGTAATTGCCAACCTGAAAGGGATGTTTATGCAGGTGTGTGACATTCCTCGTCTGTGGAGGCAGAACAAGATTGATGCTGTAAGTCACCCATTTTTCTCTAAAAGAAGATTTGGTTTTCATATGCTTTTCACTGTAACATTGTTTTCTTATCTCCTAAGTTATACTTGCATTTTGGGAGGACCAAGGCAGGAATTAAAATTGTGTAGATAAACCAAAGATTTGAAGTCTTCCTCTTCCACACAAACTGTGTTTTTGGAGGCCCTGTATCCATTTCCAGCAAGAATCCCATAGGAGGTCACTCATATACTGTTTTCCTTCTAGAGCTCAAAGCCAAACAAGCAAATTAAAGCAAACAACAAAACCCCATCTAATTTAAAACAAAACAAAACACAAAACAAAGCAAGAACAACAACAGCAAAATGCAAAAACCCATGCTGATTATAATTCTGACCAAAGTAACTTCCACAACTATTCTGAGAAATTATAAAATCCGGAAACTAAACCCTTTAGAGTTACGCTCTAATTTAAACCAGAACAGATGAAAGGAATGGGAAAATGTCGTATATGTCGACACAGAAAGATCTCCAAGCCAAGCTGTTAAGTGAAAATAGAGACCAGCACAGAATAGAATAGTATGCACAATAACACTAAAAGATGGAAAAATAAAATAATGCTTTATAGTCGTATTTACTTGTATTTGCAAAAACAACATGCTGGTGAAACTTGTGCATGAGTGTTTGTATGCACACACTCAGAGAAACAAAAGAGGATGGGAACAGGTGAGGGGAGGAGGGGAACAGGTGAGGGAAGGATGGGAACAGGTGAGGGGAGGAGGGGAACAGGTGAGGGGAGGAGGGGAACAGGTCAGGGGAGGAGGGGAACAGTTGAGGGAAGGATGGGAACAGGTCAGGGGAGGATGGGAACAGTTCAGGGGAGGAGGGGGCTGCAAGCAAGATTTTTACCACACACCCTTTTTTAAAGTTAATTCTATTTTGAACATGTTAATATATTACCTTTTTGAAAATTAAATTAAAAAATATTTAAATGGGACAATTGGTGTATATGGGAATGCCAATTTCCATTTCTACTTAAATATGAAACAAAATCAGAATATTAAATAAAACAGTGTGTGGTGGGGGAAATGGGAACAACTGTACTTGAGCAACACCAAAAATGACGTGTGGGGGGTTGGGGTGCTGACCCCCTGCACAGTCAAAATTCCACATGTAACTTTTGACTCCCCCAAAACATAGTTAATAGCTTATTGTTGACCAGCATTACCAATAATATAAATAATTGACTAATGCATTTTGTATATGTATTATGTATGTATTCTTACAATAAGTAAGCTAGAGAAAAGAAAATATTAAGAAAATCATATGGAAAATACATTTAGAGTACTTAGTGAGAAAAATCACTGTATAAGTGGACCCGCATCATTCAAATCTGTGTTGTTCAAGGGTTAACTGTAATTCGTTCATAGACAATGGATCTTATTAATTGTACAGGTAACCTCTCACCTGATGGTACATAATAAATTAATATAATTCTCTTTATTTCCATTTCCCTAGGTTATCTGGGTGTTCACATGCATAGTGTCCATCATTCTGGGCCTGGATCTCGGGTTGCTCTCTGGCCTTGTATTTGGGTTGCTGACTGTGGTGCTGAGAGTACAGTTGTGAGTAATATAAGACCCTGGTTACCTGGGGCCAAGACAGCAGGCTCTGAGATTTCTTATGCCACTTTGATAAGTACAGTAAAATGACTCCCTTTCATAATAGTTACTATATATTGCATGTGTCTGTGAGTTAAGCACATAGTGAGTGCTTTACACATATAATCATATTTAATCTTCAAAAAATGTCCTGTGAATAGGTTATATTATCCTCATCCTACAGGTAAGAAAATTGAAGCTCAGCAAGGTTAAGAAGCTTCCTTAAGATCACATAGCTAGTAAGGGGCAGAACTAGGGTTTGAACCCAGATGCACCTCACCCCAACATCTGTGCACTTCGTCACATGCTCTGATGCTGGTGCTCTCCTCCAGGTCATGGTGAGACCAAAAGATATGTAATTCAGCAACAGACTGAGGTTGCCTTGCAGTTTCTTAAATGAGATGAAGTCTGTGAGGCACCGGGCCCAAGGCTCAGGACTAGATAGCTGCTAAATATATTTTAGCTCATTTGGTTGAAGCTAGTAATCCAGAAGTTATGTAACCCAGAACAGGAGACTTAAAAACAGTTCACTGTAGTCAAAATGTATTCAAATCTGCCAAATAAGGCATGTGCCTGATAAGCCCCACAATTATATGAAAAAAACACAATTAGATCATCTTCAGAGTGAAAGCAGCAAAGGCAGTTGAAAGTAATGAAAAGTCATCTATGAGGCAGCATTAAGGGGTATGATTTTTGTTGGTTTGTTTTGATTTTTTCTTTTTTTTTAATATATTTTATTGATTATGCTGTTACAGTTGTCCCATTTTTTTTCTCCCCCTTTTCCCTCTCTACCCGGTACCTCCCCTCCCACCAGCATTACCCCCCCCCACTTAGTTTATGTCCATGGGTTATACATAGAAGTTTCTTGGCTTCTCCATTTCCTGTCTCCCCCTGTGTATTTTGTACCTGCCACTTATGCTTCTTATTCCCTGTACCTCTTCCCCCATTCTTCTCCCACGCCCTCTCCACTGATAACCCTCCATGTGATCTCCATTGCTGTGATTGTGTTCCTGTTCTAGTTGTCTGCTTAGTTTATTTTTGGTTTTGTCAATTTTTTGGTTCAGTTGTTGATAGTTGTGAGTTTTTGTCATTTTGCTGTTCATCTTTTTTTCTCACATAAGTACCTTTAACGTTTCACATAATAAGGGCTTGGTGATGATCAACTCCTTTAAGTTGACCTTATCTGGGAAGCACTTTATCTGACCTTCCATTCTAAACAATAGCTTTGTTGGATAGAGTATTCTTGGTTGTAGGTCCTTGCCTTTCATGACTTGGAATACTTCTTTCCAGCCCCTTCTAGAAGCCTACAAGGTTTCTTTTCAGAAATTAGGTGACAGTCTTATAGGAACTCCTTTATAGGTAACTGTCTCCTTTTCTCTTGCTGCTTTTAAGATTCTCTCCTTATTTTTAGTCTTGGGTAATGTAATTATGATGTGCCTTGGTATGTGTTTCCTTGGGTCCAACTTCTTTGGGACTCTCTGAGCTTCTTGGACTTCCTGGAAGTCTATTTCCTTTGCCAGATTAAGGAAATTCTCCTTCATTATGTTTTCAAATAAGCTTCAAATTTTTGCTCTTCCTCTTCTTCTGGTACCCCCATGATTCAGATGTTCAAATGTTTAAAGTTGTCCTGGAGGTTCTGAAGCCTCTCCTCATTTTTTTAAAATTCTTGTTTCTTCATTCTGTTCTGCTTGATGGTTTCTTTCTACCTTTTGGTCCAAATCATTTATTTGAGTCCTGGTTTCCTTCCCTTCACTGTCGGTTTCCTGTATATTTGTCTTTATTTCACTTTGCATGACCTTCACTTTTTTTCTCCATTTTGTGAGCATACTCAACCATTTCTGTGAGCATCCTGATTAGCAGTTTTGAACTCTGCATCCTACATGTTGGCTGTCTTTTCATTGCTGAGTTTTATTTTTTTTCTGGAGCTTTGATCTATTCTTTCATTTGGGCTATATTTTTTTTGTCTCAATGTGCCTGTTACGTAGCAAGGGGTGGATCCTTATATTTTCCGGGGCAGGGCAACCCAAATTGCTGAGTCATGGTGCCGTATGTGGGGGAAGAGTCGGAGTGGAAACACTGCCCCTTGGTTGGCTCTCAGCTGGCTTTCAGTCCCTTCCCCTGCTACCCACAAGCAATTCGGGCCCTTCTAGTGCTGATTCCTGGGAGGATGGATTTGTGCACATTCTAGGACCCCATGGGTCTCTCCAATGAACTCTTCTTTGCAGTGGGAGTTTCTCACTCCCACTGGGAGTTTCAACCCACACTATCCCCACAGGTTTTTACAGTCAGAGGTTTTGAGGCTTTATTTCCCTGCACTGGAACCCTGGGTTACACGGTCTGTCTCACTCCCCAGTTATGCCTCCAGTTTTATCTGCATGCAAATATGGGACCTTCCGGTCCTCCAGCTGCCGCCTTGCTGCACATTCTCTAGGCCCCAGCTGTCCATCTCTGCCCCTCCTACCCATCTGAATGAATGTTTCTTCTTTAACTGCTTGGTTGTCAGACTTCCACACAGTTTGATTTTCTGGCAGTTCTGGTTGTGTTTTGTTTTTAAGTTTGTTGTCCTTCTTTTGGTTGTGCAAGTAGGCAAAGTGTATCTACCTACACCTCCATCTTGGCCAGAAGTCCCTCAATTTTTTTTCTGTTTTGACTCTTGAAAGGCCTTTTGTGTGCACCCTTCTGGGTCTATGAAACTGTCTGAACAGAGAGGGAAACAGAGCTTCTCTCCCAAATCAAAACTTGCTGTCTTTTTGGACTCCTGGCCCTTCTCTGTATTTGGGCAGTGAAGGAATAAAACCCTGGAAACTATCAACATGGATGTCTTCAATTTAGCATAAGCCCACCTTTTGTGTTTCACCAGCCAGATCTTCTCTCCCTTCTTTTCTCCCCTGGCATGCTGGAGCCCACAAAAGGCTGCTGTACACTGCCGTGATACCCTTAAATGGTGCCCAAGGGCCCGAAAGAGTTCACAAGCTCTCGAAGTGTCCAGTTTACTACCGTGTAACAACTGAAGAGCTGTCCTTAAAAAATGCTGCCTCTCCTGCTCTTTTTGCCTCCGCATTAACTTTCCTTGTATGGGTGTGCTTGGAAAAGCGGGTTTTGTGGAGAGGTACTATATAATTTATGAGCTTTAAGTTAAAAGTTAGCACAGCACAGTAAGCAGAGGAGAAATCGGTGGCACGTTTCAGCTGCTGCTGAACCCAGTTGGTTTAACTGGGCTTTTAGGCAACAGAAAGCAGTATCCTCTGCAGTATTTAATTCCCAGTGATTATAAGGCTAATCCAGAGAGCACATTGCTGAGAGTACCCCAAACAGATACTCTTTCTTCAGGAATTGTATTTAGCATTTGTTCCTTGTCATGCTTGAAGAATGACAAAATTTATTTGATTGCAACAGGAACAGGAAATAGGAAGTGCTTATTTCTGGCTCTCTCAGGCTCCTATTTTTATAAAATGAGACTAATTTGATCACTGCAGACTCTTCATAATTCATCAGAAAGTTGCAATAATTCACAAGGAATTTCCAGGCACTGGCACTATGTCAGGCACTGAAGACCAACGGGCTAAAGATAGAGCCAGGCTGCTCCTGACCTCTGGGGTCTTTTCAAACTTCTGTTCTCAGTTTACTCTCCAATAAAAATGAGGAAAAACTGCTGACCTTTCAGGGTTATGGTGGGGCTTAAATAAGATTTAACAGGTGTGAAAGATCTTTGCCTATCCTATAAAGTCCTACACACATGAAAATCTGACACTCATTATTTCTCTCAGCCTTTGGAGAAGAATCACAGTTCCCCTGTCTCCTCCAACTGCACACAAACACCAGCTGTTCACTTCAGAGTTAGCTACGGGAACATGTTGTCTGCAGTAGAGGCAGTGTTCAAAAACATCAGAATGATGAGCTCTTTAGTTTCTGTTATTTCTTTTTATTCCAACATATGCTTGTTGCAAAAAATGCTGACTGTAATTTTGTTTTAGTCCCTCCTGGAATGGTCTTGGAAGCATCCTTAGCACAGACATCTACAAAAGTACCAAGAACTACAAAAATGTGAGTGCCTTTGTGAGATATTTGCTGGACTGGGGTTTGCTGGCCAGGATCACATATTTCTCTTCCAGTATATTAGAGACAAAGTAGGCATGGGTGGGGGCCTTCCGTCAGGAAATTCCAAAAGTCCACTGAGGTGTTTTGACTCAATGTGCCTTCTGATATCCATGGTTTACATAAATTTTGGCAATGCTAGTTGAATGTCATTTTAATGTCAAACCACTGTAAAAAGAATCTTTAAATATAGGCAATTAAGTTATTTTGAGAAGTTGAATCAAATTCTAATTCTTTTGATAAAGGGGGTTAAAGATACAAATTTCTAGTTATAAAATAAGTCCTGGGGATGTGATGTACAGCATGGTGACTATAGTTAATAATATCACATCACATAGTAGAAAGTTGCTAAGAGACCAGCTCTTAAAAATTCTCATCACAAGGAAAAAAATTTAATTATGTATGATGACAGATGTTAACTAAACTATATACAAGTATCAAATTATGGTGTACACCTGAAACTAATAAAATGTTATATGTCAATTATACCTCAATAAAAAATGTGGACAGAACCTTACAGACCTCTAGAATAAAATAAAACATATTGACATATGCATAATGAGAGTCTCAAAGGAGGAGGAAAGGAAAAGACAGACAGAATATTTAAATAAGTATCAAAATTTCTCCAAAATTGATGAATAACATTACATACAAATCCAAAAGGTCCATTGGACCCAATTACTGCACACACAGAGGTCTACGCCTAGGCACGTTACAGTAACACTACTGAAAGCCAGGGCATTAAAAAGATTCTACAGCAGCAAGAGGAAGAAAAAAGTACTATTTCTTTGCTATATAATCCTTATCATCTATGAAACTGTATAAAATCCCTGGAAGATTTCTTCACTCATTTTTTAAAAAGATTTTATTTATTTATCTGTAGAGGGGAAGGGAAGGCGAGAAGGAGAAACATCAATGTGTGGTTGCCTCTTGTGTGCTCCCTGCTGGGAACTGGCCTGCAACCCAGGCATGTGCCCTGATTGGGAATTGAACCACAGCTGTTTGTTTGGTTTGCAGGCCCATGCTCAAACTACTGAGCTACACCAGCCAGGGCTTCACTCATTTTTAATATTCTCACATTCTCTGTCTCCAAGAAGCTTAGTTAAGATTGTGCTCTATGCTTGGAATTGGAAGAAATAATATAAAATACAGAGAATAAAAAAGAAAATAAAAAAAATAAAGAAACATCTTACCGATAGGATTGTAGTCCCTGCAGATAAGATTGCTTAGTGACCAGCAAGGGAAACGAAGATGAAAAAGCAGAGAAAATGAAGAGAATTCTAATTTAGCAAAAAAAAAATTTAAAAATTAAAAAAATGTGAACCCTAGGAAGTTGTAGTCTAATTTTACCTTAACATTAAAAAAAAATGTTACGGGGCGGAAATGAGAGGGAGGGAGGATGGCTGGTTGGGTGGGCTGGGATGGGAGTAAAATACAGAAAACTGTACTTGAACAATTAAAATTAAAAAAAGAAATAATAAAGGCAAAGTTGAAGAAGACAAAAAAAAGTTAGACACTGAATCTGGAATTCCAGTAGCTGCCACTTAATTTACTTCCACAGCTGTCCTCAGTTGTTATGTTGAGCCAAGTGCCATCAAGAACTACAAATGATTCTAGATAATCTCTTGGCTTTGGGTTCTGAGTTCTGAACTCTGGGCTCCTGCTTGTACAGACCTTGCTCAAGTCACCCAGGCTCACGGGGCCTGCATTTCTTCTCTGATCAGCTGGACTAAAATTGTTATGGTTCCTAAACACCAGACAAGCCTGTGATTCTGGTTTTCCTTTGGGTCTGACTACTGTGTCAGTGTAAGAACTAGCAAATGACATCATAGGCCTTAGCCCCAGCAGATCCCCTTGAATTTGCTACTTTTTTTCTATTTGAAAGGAATTTGGGGGGATAAATAGAGGGGCAGTGGTATGGACCTGAGGCAACTCATGTCATTGTTCTGAGCTTTTCTTCTTCCAGAAATCAGAGGGTTGAATAATTGCTTTTCAAGGCCCTTTCTTTCATCAGCTTCCCCTGGATGGTGATGGTGGAGGTTCAGGAGTGTGGGGAACCTATCGCCTGCCAACTGGGATGAGGCCCTAATAAGGGAGTGGAATGCTGCTGCTACCCAGCTCCTCAGAGCAATTGTAACTCAGCTTCTACTTGAATAGCCAGAAATTTAAATGAGTATTTGAGGCCTGAAATTATTTAACCTCAATTTCTTTTCAATGCTAGATTGAAGAACCTGAAGGAATGAAGATTCTTAGGTTTTCAAGTCCTATTTTTTATGGCAATGTTGATGTTTTTAAAAAATGCATCAAGTCTACAGTAAGTGTTTTATCCCTAAAAACTTGTCTGCTAACCTCCTTTGAGATTTCATTCATTCTGTAGGTATTTATTGGGCTCAAAGTGGACATGAGGCCCTATGTACTGCTCCCTTTGTATAGGGCATTAAGAATTATAACATCCTTGCCCTAAAATAACTTATGCTCTGTTGGGGATAGGAAAAAACAGTAATAGATGTTAAAATCCAGGTGGCAGTAAGTATGCCGCTGGACAAAAACACTAGAGTTGTCTCCAGGCGGAATTCGAGTAAGAATTTTGAGTAAGTTCCAAATGAATGGTTTGGACAGTACTTGCTAAAAGTTCGTAGCAGGGAGTGAGCCATGTTAGTTGGAACTCATCAGGCAGTGTGGCAGTGAGCAGAAGGAAGGAGATCATAGCAGGTGTTTGGGAACTATGAGAACTGAGAGGAAAAGGTAGAAACATGTACTGGGGAGAGGTTGCCCAATAGGGTAAGGAGTTAAACAGTATATGCAGAATCTGAAGGCAGGAAATTCTGGTCTTGAATTTCATGCTGTGCTTCAAAGTTGGGTTTTGTTTCTAGGTCAGTATTTTATTATGTGCATTCTAGGGTAAATTACTGGTTCATCCTAGAGGGACAATCATAGATTTTGCAATAACAAAAGAGCTCTGTAATGTTAAAGAAATTTGGAAACACTGACTTAAAACTAATGAAGTTATTTTTTGTTGTTTTGTTTTCTACTGTCTTGGAGTCTTTAATATGCTCCTGTCTTCCCTGAGTCTCTGAGTGGGTGGGGTAGATGAGCCAGTAGTGGAGACCTCAATCAAGAATTTCTTATTTGGCAGAATGTCTCAAGGAATAATACTACTCGAGAAATTACCTTTCCAGGTAACAATTGCCATTAATGAGCATTAGGAACCAGATGTTTTAAGTAACCTGACATTTCTTTCCAAAGGTTGGATTTGATGCCATTAGAGTGTATAATAAGAGGCTGAAAGCACTGAGGAAAATACAGAAACTCATCAAAAAGGGGCAATTAAGAGCAAGAAAGGTGAGACAACAGCTTTCCCCCCATCTTAAATGTCTCCCTTTCTCAGATGAAAATGAAAATGATTAGTCTAAAATTAAATCCACCCCCTTTGGTACCCAGATGTGTACAAGCAGATGACATACACTTGTCAGAGAACAGCTGAGTTGTCCTTATAGCCAAAAGGGAATGGGAGAAAATAAAATGAAATCAGCAGAAAAAACACAGGGTATGAGTTCATAAACATTTATAGCTATTATTTTTATTGTCCTGCCAATGTGTCTCTTGGCCAATTCCACAACCTCCCAGAAATCAAGAGTTTCCTGGCTTCTCTGCTCTTCCATTTTTCTTCCTAAGGAACATGAAAGTTTGGACTGAAATAAACCACATTCATTAAGTGTTCATCCCCTCAATGTTTTGCTTATCAAGTGTGTAGGACTTTTAAGTAATTTGAAATAAATTGTTAAAAAAACATCCCAAATCATTGGCAATTAAGTTGGCAGTATTTTCTTTGTTTAGAATGGTATTATATGTGATGCTGGTTCATCGAATAGTGCTTTCGAACCTGATGAAGATATCGAAGATCCGGAAGAACTTGATATCCCAACCAAGGAAATAGAGATTCAAGTGGATTGGAATTCTGAGATTCCAGTGAAAGTGAATGTTCCGAAAGTGCCCATCCATAGCCTTGTGCTTGATTGTGCAGCTGTGTCTTTCTTGGATGTTGTTGGAGTGAGATCTTTACGAGTGGTAAGGTTCTGTTTTTGAACAACAGATTAGGAGCTTTGGCAACAATAAAACCACATGGGATGCCCAGTCTGGCAAAAGGGTGACTGACTGCATAGGCTCTACACTATTTCTAGGGGAATGCTTTTGCAATAGAGTTTAATATTTTAAAGCACAGGTTATGGAGCCAGACTACATGGGGTTGAATTTTTGGCTCAACTATTTGCTGTAGTATGACTGTAGGCAAGTTGCTTAATTGGTCTATACCTCAATTTCTTTACTCTAATATGAGGATAATAACAGTACCTATTTAATATAGTTTTCATGAGAATTAAATCAGCACATACATGGTAATGGTTTAGAACAGTATTTGACACCCAGTCATCCTTCAGAGAATATTAACATTTATTATGTTTTATTTTTCTGAGAGCATAAAGGAAATTGAATATGAAAAGGAGGAAGTTTATGTTAAGTATTATGTTTTTATTTGTTATGTAAACAGCAGCAGAATGAGGAATACTGAGTACATAATAGGACTGAAAAACCCAGGCATTATTAAGAGGCTGGAGCAGGTAGCAGGTCAGTCATCTAGGAAGTCAAAGGATTGAGGAGCATGTAGGGCAGGAACATTCATGATATCAGACACCAGTTATGTAAGGTTGAGTTCATTCTTTCAACAATAGAGGTGAAGAGCCTAATAAATGCCAAGCACTCAGCCAGGCACAAGAGACAAATAATGAAGTAGTCATATCCTCATGGGACTAAGCAGTCTAGAGGGAGAGGAAAACATTACATAATCTTTTTTAAATTTATTTTTTAAGTATATTTTATTGGCTGTGCTATTACAGTTGTTCTTTTTTTCTCCCCTTTATTCCCTTCCACCCTGTACAGCCACTCCCACCAGCATTCTCCCCAGCCTTAGTTCTTACCTATGGGTTGTACATGTAAGTTCTTATGCCTCTCCATTTCCTCTACTATTCTTAACCTCCCCGTCTATTTTGTATCTACCATGTATGCTTCTTATTCCCTGTTCACCCTCATGCCCCTTCCCCATCTCTGCCTTCCAGTGCTACTCTGCTGATAACCCTCATTTTTGTGATTCTGTTCCTGTTCTAGTTGTTTGCTTAGCTTGCTTTTTTTTTTAAAGATTATATTTATCTATTTTTAGACTGATGGGAAAAGAGAGAGAAAGAGGGAGAGAAGCATCGATGTGTGAGAGAAACAATCAGTTGCCTCTCATATGACCCCATCTGGGCTACAACACAGGCATGTACCTTGACTGGGAATTGAACCAGTGACCTTTTGGCTGACCAGCCAATGCTCAATCCACTGAGCCACACCAACCAGGGCATGTTACTTTTTAGGCTCGGTTGTTGATAGTTGTGAGTTTGTTGTTATTTTACTGTGCATATATTTGATCATCTTCTTTTTCTCACATAAATCCCTGTAACATTTCATACAAGGGCTTGGTGATATGAACTACTTTAACTTGACTCTATCTGGGAAGTACTTTATCTGACCTCCCATTCTAAATGATAGCTTTGCTGGATAGAATAATCTTGGATGTAGGTCCTTGCCTTTCATGACTTTGAATACTTCTGTCCAGCCCCTTCTAGAAGCCTACAAGGTTTCTTTTCAGAAATCAGGTGACAATCTTATGAGAACTCCTTTGTAGGTAACTGTCTCCTTTTCTCTTGCTGCTTTTAAGATTCTCTCCTTATTTTTAGTCTTGGGTAATGTAATTATGATGTACCTTAGTATGTGTTTCCTTGGGTCCAACTTCTTTGGGACACTCTGAGCTTCCAAAGAAGTGCCACATCAAAATGGGGGCTCCATTTTGCAACCATACTCAACCAATTCTATGAGCATCCTGATCACCAACCATTGTTTTGAGTTGTGCATCTTATAGGTTGGCTGTCTCTTCATCACTTAGTTCTATTTCTGGAGTTTTGATTTGGTCTTTCATTTGGGCCATATTTTTCTGTCTTGATGCAGCTGATACATTCATGGTAAGGGGTGGAAACTTAGGTATTTGCCAGGGTGGGGCAACCCACTTTGCTGCACTGTATTGCTGTATGTGGGTGAGTGGTCAGAGAGGGAACAATACCACTTGCTCATCTCTCGGTTAACTTTCAGTCACTTCCCCTGCTACCCACAAGCAAATTGTGCCCTTCTGGTGCTGATTCCTGGATGGGTGGGTTTGTATACATTCTAGGACCCTTTGGGTCTCTCCAGTGAACTGTCCTGAGAGGCTGTGAGTTTCTCCCACCACTGCAACCCCCACAGGTTTTTACACTCAGAGGTTTTGAAGCTTTATTTCCCCACACTGGAACCCTGGGTTGCCCAGTCTGTCTCACTTCCCACTTGTTCCTCTTGGTTTATCTGCACACAAATGTGGGATGGCCAGCTGCCACCTTGCCATCTCCTCTCCTCCCTGGCTACCCATCTCCGCCCCTCCTACCAGCCTGAATGAATGTTTCTTCTTTAACTCCTTGGTTGCTGGAGTTCCATACAGTTTGATTTTTCTGGCAGTTCTGGGTTTTTTTGTTTTTATATTTTTTGTCCTTCCTTTGGTTGTGTGAGTAGGTGGTGTATCTATCTAGGCCTCTGACCTGGCTGGACATTAAGTAATCTTTTAAATAACAGCTGTACTAAGTGCTCCAAAGCAGACAAACTGGGGTCTCAACTTGATTAGGAGTGTTAAGTTTAAGTGAAGCTTCTAGTAGGTATCAAGCAAGTTAGGCAGAGAAGCAATAAGGTTAAAGACACCAACAATCAGATACAATAATATGGAACTGACCTTCAACTGAGGTTTAGCTTAGCTGAAGCTTCTTGGCTGCTTTGCAAGGGTAGGAAATCATTCCAGAATGCAGGTACTAGGCAGGTACAATAGAAAGTGCTTATACTTAACAAAAGGAAATGATACAATGGTGACAGGTTCTCTTCCAGTTCTCTTAGCAGACCTGATCATTAGCTCATTTGAGAGCATTTTCTTGCTTTTCATTGTGCATTTCACTCTGGGCATTGGCTCAGATGCATTGTAGATTGTGTTGGCCAAAGGTTTAGTGAATGACTTTTGGGAAGAGTCTTGATATTAGTATCATGACAGAATATTTTTCACACTTAACAAATAATTGCTTTCAAATGCTATACTGATAATTGTGAACAATTCAACCTTTATACTTGCATAAAGGTCATGATCTTCTCCCCAGAAATTCCAAGTTCTATTTTATTATTGCCTGAAGGTCTTGCATATTGATTTTTCTAAAGATTTTATTTATTTATCTTTAGAGGGGAAGGAGAGAGGAAGAGAAAGATCAACGTATGGTTGCCTCTAGTGCTTCCCCTGCTGGGAAATAGCCTGTTCCCTGCAGGGAATTGGCCTGCAACCCAGGCATGTGCTCCGACTGGGAATCCAACCACGATCCTCTGGTTCGCAGGGCTACGCTCAATCCACTGAGCTACACCAGCCAGGGCTGATTTTTTAAATTAAACTTTTCAGTTTGAGATAACTGTAGGTTCCCATGAAGTTTTAAGAAATGCAGAGAGATCCTCTGTGCCCCTTACCCAGTTTCTCCCAGTGCTAATACCTTGCAAAACTAACATCCAAAATCACAATCAGGACACTAAGACTGATGTAGTCAAAATACAGAGCCTTTTGTTTTTAGGTCAGGTTTTACATTCAGGATCTGATGGCCACATGTCTACAGACATATATTTCCCATTCAAAGATATAAACTCAGTGTTGTCTCTGATCTTCAGGGGCTGTATCAGGAAGCCTCCTGTGCTCTCTTTTCTTTCTCCTACAGATATTTATTAGGCACCTTTGTGCCATCCAGCACTGGATGTTGCCACCTCTTGAGATATGGTCTTTTCATCCCTAATCATATCATCACTTCATGTTGAAAACCTCTGTGGTTTTTCAATAATGAACTTTCCTCAAAGTCCCATTTAAGCATGAAAATATTGAAGTTTCTCCTGAGCAAGTAACTGAATGCTACTAAATTATGGGCAGGTCAAGTTACTCAAATTCTCCTTTTTAAATTTTTAGATTGTCAAAGAATTCCAAAGAATTGATGTAAATGTATACTTTGCATCGTTTCAAGGTAAATGCATATATGTACATATCTATCTATAAGACTTTTCCCTAAGCCCTTTCTCCTATCTGGGAATATGGATATATCGTGACCAGTGATTTTTTATTATGATAAAGTGCATAATAGCATTTGTTGTTTGAGTCACATTAGAGTGGCATTTGATTCGGTGGCATTAAGTACATTTACAATGTTGTGCAACCACCACAAGTATCTCTCGCCAAATATTTTCATCGCCACACACAGAACTTTACCCACTAAGCAACCCCACTGAGGGCATGTTTCTACCTAGGGAGATACTACTTCCAGTTGTGCCAGAAAGCTGGTAACGCATGGCAGCTGATCCTGCCAACAGTGCTGGATCGCTATGGGAGAATTGTCTTAGGGAGAGCAGAGCTGGAGATGACTCAGATCCCTTAAAGCTAGAGGATCCTCCAGGGTGTGATTCTGTGTCTATGGGCAAGTGTATGCATGTGGGAAAATGCTAACGCTTAGTCCGAGTTCTCTAGAACCAGAGGCTGAGTTAAGGGCTGTTGCACAAGTGATTTACTGAGAAACAGGCTGTCAGAAAAATTCATGAAGGAGTGAGGGGAGCAGGACAGGGCTGGGAAGAAGCTGGACAAAGATATGGTTGCAAAATCTGCCTTAGCCTTATTTCACAGGGGCCACACAGCAGGAAAAGCACCAGAATGTTATTCTCCTGGAGGCAGCAGAGCAGGCCTTTTTACCCCCATATCAATCTGTCAGTGCGGAAGGCCACCCAAGGGTGGGGGTGTCAACCTCTTAGGCCTTTTCAGGTGACAAAGTGACCATTGGCCCAGGAATGTTCTCCAGAGAAGGCCACAGCTAGAACCATTAACAGCCAAACTCACATTAGCAGCTGGAGGATGGGGACTCTAGCAAAAGGGACCTGGTCAGGAACCAGGGCCATTTACTACAATCAGTTCCGGTATAACCGTGACGTGTGCTACTGGAAATGAAACTCAGTGTACAGCAGGGTCACATTTTGGAAATGAGAAAAGAATTAAGAGGAGCTACCAAATCTTAGTATTGGTTCATGTTACAAAATTACCTTTTGTTAGAAACTAACTAAACACTATTTTTTTTTCTTTTGAAGATCATGTAATAGAAAAGCTGGAGAAATGTGGTTTCTTTAATGATAACAGAAAGGACATATTTTTTCTGACTGTCCATGATGCTGTCCTCCATGTACAGCACCAGGTTAAATCCCGAGAAATTCAAGATTCCATTTTAGAAACGGTAAACATTTAATCTTTCTATCTATGTGTCTTTCCTGAACTATTATATTATTTCTGTAAATGGCAGGAGTTCCACAAATTTGGGTTTAAATTCCATTCTAGTGGGATGTCAAGCCTCTGGTTAACTTCTCAGAGCCTAAGTTTTCTCATCAGTAAAATGGAAGTGAAAACATTTACTTTGCTGGGTAAATATGAAGAGTAAATATGACAGTTTATATGAAAGCACCTGGGACTACCTAGTGTTCAATACATAATAGTTCTATCACATGTAGGTTTACTAATAAAAGTAGCTGTAGCGATACTGCCTTTTTAGAATATAGGCACTGAATCTCAGGTCTTCTGGGATTTGTATCTACAAATGCAGTTTAAATTCTCAGCAATTTGGAAACTCTTTATTATAAATGTCAAAGGTCATAAGTGATCTTTGAAAAAGAAGAAAAATTAAAAGCCATGAATTAGCCAGGACTTAGTTATCCCCCACAGAACAGAATAAAGCCCGATTTCCTATGGGACTCTCAGTTTTGTTAGTTCCCTTGTCAGCGGCCTGGGAGCGCTGAGCTTTCTGGTCCAGGTGTGCGCCCGAGCCTACTGGTGGGCCTGGTATAAGAATCTCTTCTCTCATCAGCCTTGCCACAGAGAATTTAGGAAACCAAAATAATACCTACAAAAATAACAATAATAATTATTCCAGTGACCCAATGTGCTATAGTTTAAATTGCTTCCTTATCCCCCCCCCTAGTTAAGAAAGATTCTTATTGTGAACTGGAAGTTAATGTCTGAAGTAAAACTAATTTAGAAAACAATAGCACATTATGCTTTTAAGCTATTGCTAGTGGAGATATTGCTCAGCCTACTGCTGTGGGAGAAACATAGGGGTTCTAAATACCAAGATCTGTATCTGAAATACAAAAAAAGGGGAAAAAAGGAAAGTAGTAAAACCACAAATCTATGGGGGAAAAAAAGCTACATGCAAGCAAAATGCTCATTTTTTAAAACTCATAAAACTTTTCTTTCTAACTTAAAACTCTCTACTTATAGGTAACAACAAAACAGGATCTTATAAAGTATCTTAAAAAGGCCCCTCATTAAAAGTAAAATAGAACCAAAGTCTCAACTACTTTCTCAGTGTGAAAACAGTTATTTTGTTTGTTTATACCTTGCTCTGATGCAAGAACTCAGATCCCACAAATGTCACAAAACCCACCGATGACAGTGCCCCTACCAGCATTAGACTCAACACCGTTTGTAATCAGGGAGGCATCATTGGGCCTTGGACGAATTTTTTCACTGTGAACAAATGTCAGACTGAGTATAACTGAGTGTTTATATTATACACTTACTGGTTCACTGGATAGTGGGCTGAGCACTAGGGGTAGCCTCTCAGGTGAGTAGCCTTATGCTTCTGCGTACCCTCAGTATCTAAGCACAAAGCCCTGCATATGGTGCGTGTGTAGTAAATGATGATAAATTTTGCCTGTGGCACTTTCCTTTTCTTCACGAAGGGTAACATGTGTTATGGATGTTGCAAATGCCGTGATGTGACCATCATGAGGGCTATCCCAGGACTGTCCCAATTTGTAGTTACATCTATCCTCTTTCTCTCATTATGTCTGACCATCTGCACAGGGCCTAGCATCTAATTCACTTCCATGCTAGCAAAGAGAATTGGATTATTTATTTGTGAGATGAAAAATAGCTGAAAAGCTCTTTGAAATGTCACTTTTATTTTGATATACATTTGGAGTTGCTTTGGGAGTATCCTTCTTTATGCATCAGATAAAGCCCAAAATGTTACTGGTTTTCTCTGTTACTGATTTACTGCTAAAAAGCAGAACTTTCTTGAAAAACAATCTTGGTCCATAGAGGTTGATTTCCAACAAAATTAATATCCAACCAGTTTAACTTGTGACTGGTCATTGTCATCAGTCACGAGCCCATTCAGTGCATGCTTAACGCTGCACTAAGTGCTCTCAGTTTAGCCTATGAAATAGAGACACTTTGACTACTGCGTCATTCAAGCAGAAGGGTAACTGCCCTTCAGAGGCTGGGAAAAAGAGTTGGAAAGGAGGTTAACAATGGAAAACTGTGGCAGTTCACACTTTAATGTGAAAAAAGAGGTACAGGGAAAATTGCAAGTGAGAAATACAAAAGGACAAGAAAGCTGGAACATATTTTGAAGTGTGTAGATTATTACATGAGAAGCACTAGCAGTGCTTTGAGTAATTTTCAGTGGTTTATCAGGTGGGTTGTTGCTATTATATTTTCAGCAAATATTCTCTCTGTTTTCTTTGTCAAGATCTCCCTCATCCAAGACCATAAAGATCCTCTTGAATTAATGGAAGCAGAACTGATTGAAGAAGAACTTAATGCTGAGGATGAGGTATGAGCATTATTTTCTTTCAAAGAATATAATTTAGATGAAATCTTGAGTAAATAGAATAATACATGTAGTAACTATGTCTGATACAAGCTATTCATAAAAAATAATTTAAAAAGATACCCAAAGGATGGTGTAATAGAATGAAGGAAATGGAAAACAAGAATTTCCCCTTGAAGACAGTAAGAACCTGGGCACCTTCTGGCCCAGGCTTACAAGATGACCTGGAAGCAGCCAACACTCTGGTCCTGGTCTTTTGTCTAAGCCTCAGCGTACTTTTTCTTCCAGAGTCCTAAGGAACAGAAGAAAGGTGATTGGAGGAAATTTTTAATCCAGAAGTTTCATAAACTTCAGAAATAGTCTGTGTGAAACAGGAACCTCATGACTTTCCTCACCTGACTGATAATGGCTTAGAAAAGACTGGTTTTATGTATTTCTGATGCTCTTGGGGCCATGAGTCATTTCCTAGGAAACTTGACTGAAACTTGTAGTAACCTGGATAAACTTTGTGGCTCCACCACAGAGTAAAATGAGACTAACAAAAGAAGATCACAGAATTTTACAGTTAAAAGATGCCTGAGAAATCAAATAGTCCCACACCTTAGCCCATGCAGAAATCCCTCATACCCCATGTTCAAGGATATTCATTAAGGTTTTGTGTGAGTGTTTCCAGACATTGGCAACTAGGAGCTTTTCCAGGGAGCTTGTTGCATGCTTCAAAGTGTCCAGGTGTTACTTGTGCTTACCAAATTAGATTTGGCCTTTCTCTAATACCTGGCAACTGAGCTCTCTCTTTTCTAGCAATACAAGCCCTCCCACTAAACAGCCCTTAAATATTTGAGAGTATCTCTCAGGTCTCCACCAAACTCTACTCCAGGTGGGACTCCTCCCTTTATCATTCCTTGCAGATTCAAAATTTGTCAATGCTCCTCTGACAAAGGAGGGGACACAAAGCCTTAGACAGGGACAGGCCAGCATGAAGATTACACAACCGCGACCTACTTTGATCTCAAAGATAATTCTATTACTATGACTTAAAAATGTGTTTATAGTAGCTACATCGAAATCTATGCTATTATTACAGGGGTCAGCTAAGAGACTTGGGCATTTTTACACAAATTGTCATCCAGCTGGGTTCTCCATTTATATTTATGTAACTGATTTTTGACCTCTAGTGTAGGACCACACATTTCTGATAAATTACATCCTGTTTGTTCCCATTGACTGACATCCTCTTGAATTCTGAATCTATCATCCAGCATAATAATTATGCATCCCCACAGGTATCATATGCAAATCTGACAAGCATTCCTTCTCTACCTTATCCAGGCCCTGATAAAAATGTTGAAAAGCATATAATCAAAGCCCTGTGGTAAAATCAGATAGTGAGGATGACAGGAGAGAAAACTTTTGAGGAGGAAATACACTGCTAGGGTGAAATCTGAGGTTCTGCATCTTTGCCCATCAGCTTAGTGAGCCCAGGAACATCGTCACTGAGCTGTGTAGTACTTTATGACTATGGATATCAGGTCAACTCAGTTGAGTACAAACTCATACATCAAAATTGGGACCTAAGAAACTGCCATTATGTAGGAGTACTTTTGATTGCCACTTAAAAAGATTATTCAGGTATGAGTCCTGTAGATAATGAGGCAGTACGGCAGTATGATTTTAAAGGCATGGACTTTAGAAATGGATGGATTTGAGTGCAAACCATGATTCTGCTACTTAACGGCCGTGCAGCCCAGGGCAAATTATTTATCCTGTCTTCATGTAAAATAGAGATAATAATACTTCAAAGAGTTGTGAAAGTTAAAGGATACATAGTAAGTACTCAATAAATAGTATTAACTGTTTTTAAATAATTCAAATTAAAATATGATGAGTTACAGTGAACTTCTGGCCAAGTAGGAGGCACAGGTAGATACACATTGCTTCCTTGCAAAATCAAAAGAACAACAACAAATTCAAAAACAAGACAACCAAAACTGCCAGGAAATTGAACTGTGTGGAAGTCTAACAACCAAGGAGTTAAAGAAGAAACATTCATTCAGGCCGGTAAGAGGGGTGGAGACAGGCACCTGGGGTGGAAAGGACATGCAGCAAGGTGACAGACCAGGCAGTCTCACATTTGTGTGCTGAAAAGCTGAGAGGAACGACTGGAGAGCAAGACTGAGAACAGAACTGAGGGTTCCAGCATGGGAAACTAAAGCCTCAAAACCTGTGGTTGTAAAAAGCTGTGGGGGTTTGGCAGCAGGAGAAACTCACAGCCTCACAGAAGAGTTTGTTGGAGAAACCAACAGGGTCCTAGAATGTACACAGATCCACCCACATAGGAATCAGTACTAGAAGGGCCAAATTTACTTGTGGATTATGCAGGAAGTGACTGAAAGCCAGCAGAGAGCCAAGCAAGTGGCATCGTTCGCTCTCAGACCCCTCCCCCACATACAGCTGCACAAGCAGCAAAGTGGGTTGCCCTGCCCTGGTGAATACCTAAGGCTCCACCCCTTAACAGGTGTGCTGAGGAAAAAAAAATGGCCCAAATGAAGGTATAGATCAAAGCTCCAAAAATAGAACTTACCTGAGGAGACAGACAACCTATCATATGCAGAGTTCAAAACACTGGTAATGAAGATGCTTGCAGAAATAGTTGAGTCTGGTCACAAAATTGAGGAAGAAGTGAAGGCTATGCAAAGTGAAACAAAGCAAAATATACAGGGAACCGCTGAAGGGGAGGAAACCGGGACTCAAATCAATGATTCGGAACAAAAGAAAGAAATAAATATTCAACTGGAACAGAGTGAAGAAACAAGAATTCAAGAAAATGAGGAGAGGCTTAGGAACCTCTGGGACAACTTTAAATGTTCCAACATCTGAATCATAGGGGTGCCAGAAGGAGAAGAGGAAGAGCAAGAAATTGGAAACTTATTTGAAAAAAATAATGAAGGAGAACTTCCCTGAACTGGCAAAGGAAATAGACTTCCAGGAAGTCCAGGAAGCTCAGAGAGTCCCAAAGAAGTTGGACCCATGGAAGCACACACTAAGGCACATCATAATTAAACTGTCCAAGATTAAAGACAAGGAGAGAATCTTAAAAGCAGCAAGGGAAAAGAGGAGAGTTACCTATATGCAATTTCCATAAGACTATCAGTTGATTTCTGAAAAGAAACCTTACAGGCAAAAAGAGGCTAGAATAAAGTATTCAAAGTCGTGAAAGGCAAGGACTTACATTCAAGATTATTCAGCAAAGCTTTCGTTTAGAATGGAAGGACAGATAAAGTGCTTCCCAGAGAAGGTCAAGTGAAAGGACTTCATCATCACCAAGCCCTTGTAAATTATATCAGATGTTAAAGGGTCCTTCTAAGAATAAGATAAAAATATGAACAGTAAAATGACAACAAACTCACAACTATCAACAACTGATAAAAATAAAAACAAACTAAGCAAACAACTAGAACAGGAACAGAATCACAGAAATGGAGATCACATGGAGGGTTATCAGTGGGGGGTGGGGGAGGGCAGGATAAGGAGAAAGGTACAGGGAATAAGAAGCATAATTGGTAGGTACAAAATAGGGGAATGTTATGAATAGTATGGGAAATGGAGAAGCCAAAGAACTTACGTATGACCCATGGACAGGAACAACGGTGGGGGTGGGAGAGATGATAGTGAGGGGAGTGCACAGCCAAGGGGGATAAAAGGGAGAAAGAAATGGGACAACTGTAACAGCATATTCAATAAAAAATACTTAAAGTATGATGAGTTACAAAATTTAAATCATAATAAATTATGATGATATACACTTGAGATGGTTCAATGTAAGCAATCAGCATTATCAAAACATATGTGTAAAAAGACTTGAGAATCCATGCTGTTTCCCCTTTGTTTCCACAGGCTATGCGTAGACTTGCTACCTGAAAGTGAGCTCAGGAGGTGGCTATAAGCAAGGACTACAGGACTGCCAAATTTTACCAGCAATGTACTTCTATGCAAGCATTTTCTGCATTGACTGTTTCTCTGGACTTGAAACACTCATTCTTTTTCTGTTAGAATTTTTAAAATACTTTGATTTTTTTAACCTCTTAGCTGTTAAGAGAGAGGCACTTAAGATTGTTTCTAGGCTTTATTTATAAAATAAATAGCTTACCTCTAAACTGTGCAAAATGGTGAGAATTATCCTGGTGATCCAGCGATGTCTAGAATCTGTCCATGTTGTGCTGCTGTACCTCCATGACATTTGCTGACCATGCTCACATGGGCATGGGGTACCCCTACTCAGTTGGGCAGGTGTGGCCCCAAGACTGTGGCCAGTTCACTCATGAGTGATTATCATAAAAAAGATCTATTTCTGACTGGCGTGGACACCCACGGGCTGCGCCGTTCACAGTGTAAGGGCACACTGAGTAAATGCTGAAATATATTGTTAATGCTTTTATCAATAAAAGCCTTCAAAAATCACTTTTGGTCAATACATCAAAAATGTTTTTTAAATGCAAATTTGGTTAATACTTAGTAATGAATGTTATATTGACCATACACTTAACAAGAATTCAGGATTGAGATGGTTCACTTCTAAACTACAGAACTAGGCTGATATATATTTAAAACATTGATTTAGAGAGATGAAGCAATAATATTAATATGGTTTATAAATTCATTTTTTGATAACCATGGATCACAATTAAGATAAAATAAAAACATAAGAAAAACTATCTCTAGCTTAAAATGCAATTTTAACTTAGTTTATAAAAATAATTATTAGGTAGAGTACATAGCAGTATGGGATATTTAAAATCTAACAAAAAAATTGTGTTATTTTGAACAAAAAACAATTTTGATGTTTATATAAGACCGTGGTGATTAAAACAAGTTTGTTTTTCTCTAAAATGTAGCAGTATGTAAGGAAATGATATTTAAGTAAATTCTGACCATCTTTCAAAAAAATCTAAAAAGTTTCAATCTGGATATAAATATATGTTTAAGATGAGTTTTTAAAAATATTTTATGGATTATGCCATTACACTTGTCCCATTTCCCCCCTTCATTCCCCTCCACCCTCACATCCCCTCCCACCCACATTCCCCCCTTTAGTTCACATCCATGTGTCATAAGTTCTTTAGCTTCTACCTTTCCCACACTACTCTTGCCCTCCCCCTGTCTATTTTCTCCCCACTGTCTATGCTACTTATTCTCTGTACCTTCTCCCCCCTCTCCTCCTTCCACCCCCTGTTCCTAACCCTCCATGTGATCTCCAGTTTTGTGTTTCTGTTCCTGTTCTAGTTGTTTGCTTAGTTTGTTTTTGTTTTTGGTGTGGTTGTTAATAACTATGAGTTTGCTGTCCTTTCACTGTTCATATTTTTTATCTTCTTTTTTTTAGATAAGTCCCTTTAACATTTCATATAATGAGGGCTTGGTGATGATGAACTCCTTGAATTTGACCTTATCTGAGAAATGCTTTATCTGCCCTTTCATTCTAAATGATACCTTTGCTGGATAGAGCAATCTTGGAATGTAGGTCCTTGCATTTCATGACTTGAAATACTTTTCTCCAGCCCCTTCTTGCCTATAAGGTCTCTTTTGAGAAATCAGCTGACAGTCTGATGGGAACTCCTCTGTAGGTGACTGTCCACTTATCTCTTGCTGCTTCTAGAATTCTTTCCTTCATTTTAATCTTGGCTAATGTAATTATGATGTGGTTTGGTGTGTTCCTCCTTGGGTCCACTGTCTCTGGGACTCTCTGAGCTTCCTGGACTTCCTGGAAGTCTATTTCCTTTGCCAGATTAGGGAAGTTCTCCTTTATTATTTGTTGAAATAAGTTTTCCACTTGTTGCTCTTACTCTTCCCTCTCTGGTACCCCTATAATTTGGATGCTGGAATGTTTAAAGATGTCTTGGAGGTTCCTAAGCTTCTCCTCATTTTTTTGAATTCTTGTTTCTTCATTCTTTTTTGTTTGGTTGTTTCTTCCTTCTTGTCCAGTCCATTGATTTGAGTCCCAGTTTTATTCCCATCACTATTGGTTCCCTGTGCATTTTTATTCATTTCACTTAGCGTAGCCTTCACTTTTTCATCTAATTTGTGACCAAAATCAACAAGTTCTGTGAGCATCCTGATGACCAGTGTTTTGAACTGTGCATCTGATAGGTTGGCTACCTCTTTGTTACTTAGTTGTATTTGTTGTGGAGTTTTGATCTGTTTTTTCATTTGGGCCATTTTTTTTTTGGTCTTGATGTGCCTGTTATGTGTAAGGGGCGGAGCCTTAGGTGTTCACCAGGGCGAGGCAACCCAGTCACAGGGTTGTGACACCAGAAGGAACAATGGCACTTGTTCCACATGTATTTCAGTCCCTTCTGTAGCTTCCCACAAGCCAATTGTGCCCTTCTGGTGCTGGTTCCCATGTGGGTGGGTTTGTGTACTTTCTAGGACCCTGTGGGTCTCTCCAACAAACTCTCCTATGAGCCTGGGAGTCTCTCCCGGAACCTCCGCCCCCACAAGTGTTTTCAATCAGTACTTTTAGGCTTTATTTCTTGGCACTATCTGTCTCGCTGCCCATTTTTGCCTTGTTTATCTGCACTCCAATGTGTGACCACGGTTAGCCAGTGGCACCACACTGGGTATGCTAATTTTATTCCTGATCCTGGTGGCTGCTAGCCCCATACCACCTATGTGCCCAGGTCTGCCAGCTATCACTTTTTCCTGCAGCAACCTCTCTCCATCAGCTGCTGACTCCGCCCCTCTTATTGGTCTGGGTGGATGGTTGTCAAACTCGTGTACAGTTCAATTTTCTGTATCTTCTGGTTGTGTTTTTGTTCCTAAATCTTTGTTGTCCTTAATTTTAGTTGTGTGAGGAGGCACAGTGTTTCCACCGATACCTTCATCTTGGCTGGAAGTCCTTAAGATGAGTTTTTTAAGACAAAACATTCTAAAACAACTGAATAGCAACAACAAAAAAGATGGATTGGAATATACACGTTGAAAACATATAGGTATTTAAAAATCTATATTTTAAGCCAGAACATGTTTAAATTTTTTAGTTTTACTTAATCTCTTCTGACCATCAATAATTTTGTAGGTATTATTTATAATATAGAGGCTGTGGCCCTGCGGACTGTTTCCATATAATTCACACTTGAGTGAATGAAGTTGTACTTTATTTCTAGAGAAAAATAAACACTCAGGTCCCCAACTAAAATAATGTCTTGCATGGTTGAGACAATTATATTACATCTTTGGCACAGCTGTGTGAAATTCCCAAATGTGTTTGGTTATCCAAAGGCAACATGTTTTATCTCTTTTTCTAATTAAATACAACATGAAACAAGATGTCTAATTCTGAAGGAATATCATCAGTGATAATATCAAATTGGTAACTAAAAGAATCATTATCACCACCCCTTCATTTTGCCCATTGGAATTTGAGTGCATTGTAATGGACTGTGATGTTATAATATTCTTTCTTCTCATGGATTATTCTGTCTTTAATTGATTTAGAACAGATTTATCCCTGTGTTGGGTATAGTATAACTGGGGTTATAAGATTATCTCATTTTCACGTGATACCTGCTTATACTGGCAACAAATCATATCGCTAAAGAATAAGTACAGTAGTCTTGCAGAAAATGGATGAACACCTCTGTTCAATAGGGGAAATATGCACTGATTATTTTTTTATTAGTTGAAGGAAAGTTACCCTTTATAGTAAGGCTAGAATTTTGTGGAATCCTGGTTCCATTTGTGACTATAAAAGACCAGTCTATGTGGCTAGTTTCCGAAACATACTCTAGGAATACTGGCTCTTCTATATAGTTTTTGAATAATAAGCATATTTTAATCCTGTATTGCCAATGAAAATTTACTTGAAATTAAAATTGCCTTGTGTTATTTTAACCTATATAAGATTCCAGTTTTGTATATGACTTTCAATAAGTAAAAATATCAAATCATGTACATTTGGAAATAATTGCACATATATTTTATTAAATGTAAAGTTACTTTTTAAACTACTGTGTTGTGTCATTTCTGAACAAAACTCTTAAATATAATTAAAAATGCTACATTTTAAGTTTGCCATTGCTCTTATCACTCATCAGTTCGATGTATTTTTTAAAGTTCTACTTCCATTTTGTGTGTGTGCAATTTCTTTTTGTAAAAACTTGGTGCAATAAACAATGTTACTCAGTTAAATCTTGTGATTTTTATGCAAATATCTCCAGCTTATTGTGTGTGATGATTTTCATTTTTTTAAAGAAACTTTTTGTGCTGGTACAACAGATGTATTAAAAAGATACAAAGCACAGTTTTCTACTTGAAGAATTTTCACAAAACAAGCACACCAGTATTAAAGAGCACCCACACAAATAAGCAGAACATAACCAGTATCCCAGAAGACCTCAGCTAATTACTGTCCTGACTTCCAACACTTGTTTTTTGAACTTCATATAAATGACATCAAACAAGATTATTTCTTTTTTCTCCTTCTCTTTTGTCTTTTTCTTTTAATCCTCACCTAAGAATATATTCATTGTTGAGAGCGAGAGAGAAAGAGAGACATTAATGTGAGAAAGAAACATCGATTGGTTGCCTCCTCTACATGCCCTGACTGGGAAAGCTTGTAACACAGGTGTGTGCCCTGACAGGGGATCAAACCTGCAACCTTTTGGTGTATCGATGATCCCCACAACCAACTGAGCAACCTGGCCAGGGCTTGTACATGTGTTTGTCTTTTTTAAGTCAATATCACAACTGTGAGATTCATCCATGTTAATGTTGTTGCATATAACAATCATTAAAAATTTTCACTGCTGTGTAGTATTCCACTGCCTGAATTTACCATCACTTATTTACCTATACTACTGTTGGTGAATGTTTCTGTTGTTTCTAGTTATTGCCTTTCATGAATAATGTTGCTATGAACATTCTTGTTCATTTCATTTTTGGTGAACATAGGCACGCAGTTCTGTGAAGTACATACCCGGGAATGGAGTTGCTGGCGTCACATACATGGGTTCTGCTTCTGTAGATACTGCAGGGCACATCTAGTACCTCCAGCAGACTTTTGCACAAAGTGATCACACCAATTTACACTTTTTTATGTGAGTTTCTGTCGCTGCACATTTTTGCCAATACTGGGTCTGTATATCTGAACTTTTCTTGTGGGTGTGTGGCAGTATTTAACTGGCATGCCTCTGATGACTAAAAAAGTTAAACACTTCTCGGGTGTTTATTATCATTTAAATCCTTGTGTGAATCCTCTTCCCAAGTCATTTGCCTATTTTTCTTATTGGCTGCCTGCCATTTTCTAATTGCCTTTGAGGGTTTATAGAGTAAAGACACAAATTTTGTTGAAAATATGTATTGTAAATATTCTATGGATTGCTTTTTCACCCTTTATGTCTTTTAATGAACAGAAGTTCTTAATTTTAATGTTACAGAATTTATCATTTTTCCCTTGAGGCTAGCCTTCTTTTTCTCTTTTGGTATCTAGTTGTTTTTTTTTTTAAAAAGCTTTGTTTTACCTCTCCCATTTAGATATACAATGTATCTAGAGTTAATTTTTGCATGTGATGTGAGGCAAGGAGTAAAGATACAAATAATTTTTTTAAAAGAGTTACCCCATTAACCCAGCACCTTTTGATAAACACACAGTCCTCCTTCAATGCAGTGTCGCTTTCAACTGACTGCAAAGGTTTGAGTCTGTTTCTGGGCTCTGCTCTGCTTTCTTGGTCTGTTCTTCTGTCCTTGTACCAACACCGTAACTGTCTTGATGAGTGCAGGTTTTTAGTAGCTCTAGATACTGGAAGTATAATTACTCCAGTTTGTTCTTTTCTCACTATATTTATGCTCAGCCATCTTCATTTCTATATACATTTTAAAATAGCCTATCAGTTATTAACAAATATTATTCTTAATATATATTCTAGAATTAGCAAACATTTTCATCCAACCAATAACTCTCAAAAAATTAAATTATGCTTTACACTAAATGAAATAATATATGTTGAAAACCACATGAATTAATTATGGTTATGGTTTATTAGATGATATAAAGTACGAAAACAATTTGAGTTTTGTATTTGTTTTAAGTTAGAAATACAAATTTCAACTCCTGTGCTTTACAAACTTACATAGTAGACTCCTGGGTTGAGGTCAAGTGTCTCATTGGATTTGAGATGTGTCCAGACACTGCCACTGCCAGGGGAGGCTAAAAAGAAGTCTGCTTAATGCCTGAGGAGTCTCCTGGGAGAGAGACAGTTCATTCTAAAGCAAGAAAGATCAGACTAAAGAGCTGCGCCAGTAGCAGGGCTTGGTTGTTAGTGCACAGTTGAGTTTGGGGGTAACATAGGGCCTGTCAATCTGGGATATGTTCTAGAGCCAGATACACAAACTCATGTTTGGGTTCTATGAAGAAAGGAGGTTGCAGTTGAAAGGAGCTGCTTTACCGAGATCTCTATAAAAGGATGGGGCACATGCAATGCTTGTGGCAACCACTATGACAATGTAACTGCCAAGTTATAGGAACACATTCTGCTCTGGTCTCCTGGCACATCTACAGCTCTGGGCATCTCAGATCTTAATGATGGTGCCCTGCAACAGTGCATGGGAGAGAGCAGTCCTTGGTAGAATGGACTTGCTCATGAACACATGTGAGGCACTTTTTGGAACTTTCAGAAACATGTGAGGGGTCGTCTATCTGGGACTTGGACCTATGCAAACAGATGAGGTGAGAGTCTATAAAGTTTCCATAGTGCGAACAATATAACAATGTAACAAAGGCCATATTAACTTTAATCAAAGTGAAGAACTTCAATGACACAAAGGTAAATGGCAGGAGTAACTATGACTTTCTTAAGGCAGTCAAATGCCTTATCATCTAATTAGTGATGTGTATCATGGATGAACGAGATTCCCACTGCTGCTATCCAGCATAACCACAGACAAGGCAATGGGTTTGATGGATCAGTGGGGCAAGAACATCATGTTGAGCTTGACCTCAGTCTGGCATGGTGAAGAGACTTGAGAGGTATAAAAAATGGGAGGCCCTAGGCACCCTCCCCTCCCCTGGAGGGGGTGGGGCAAGGCCCACCAGCTTTGCAATCTGCAGATTCAATGCAATTCCTATCAAGATAACAAAGATGTATTTCATAGAACTAGATCAAATATCTCAAAAATTTATATGGCACCACAAAAGGCCCCAAATAGCAACAGCAATCTTGGGAAAGAAGAACAAAGTCGGAAGAATAACATTACCTAATATCAAACTATACTACAATAGAAGGCCATAGTAACCACAACAGCATGATACTGGCATAAAAACAGACACACAGATCAATGGAACAGAGCAGAGAGTCCAGAAATAAACTCACACC